TGCTTGTATTTTGTGACCTGTAACTTTCAACTTTTTCATAATAAACAAACAAACTGAAACAAATTTCTCCTGCCTAAAAAAAAAATTGTTTAAAGAAGTACAAGAGTGAAAAACATTTCCAGAAGAAATGTTAAGAGCTTCAATCTCTCCCATCTTAAAATCTGGGAAAGATTCGAATTTTGTTTTTAATTATCTCTTTGATAAAGTTAGATGTTAATTTTTTTTCAAAAATCTTGGCAGAGAGATTAAAGGTAGTGATCCCAGAACTGATAAATCCCACTTGATCTTGACCTATTAACAATAGGTATGGAAGCGATAATATTAGGATTCTGATAAACATGATTTCTAACCTTAACAATAACCATATTTCATCCGCTTCTATCACTTTAGACGCTGAGAAAGTATTTGACCGGGTGAATTGTAATTTTTTATCACACGTTCTGGAAATATTTTGGGTGACTGGTCAGTTTAGAGACTTAGCTGATGGGTAGGTGTATAGGCTCATAACGAAGACTGCAGGATATGGAGAAACGTCAGATTGGTTCAAAATAAAAAATAAATAAAAAAACGGAACCAGTCAGGGTTGTCCGTTATCCCCACTACTGTATATTCTTTTTATCTAACCGTTAGTGGCACTTATTAGAGATTCAAACAAAATTTTAGGAATCCCCATGATGGAGAGGGAAAGTAAACTTTTACTATACGCAGATGACATAATACTCACTCTTAGGGATTTAAAAAGTTCAATTCCATCTACATTAGATATCATTAAGGAATTTGGGGTTTATTCAAACTAAATTAAATCTGAATAAAACACAAGTTATTTCTACTAATTTAACAGCTGAATTGATAGAACACTTACAAACAACTTGTAATTTTACCTGGAACAAGGAAACAATTGACTACTTCGGTATTAAGTTATGCTTTTATATGAGTAAGATAGTACTCCTAAACTATAATTACCTCCTAAATGAACTTGAAATTACTTTGGATATGTGGAGTGAAGCCTGGGTTTCACGGTTAGGGAAAAATAATGTGGTAAAAGCTTACATAATGCCTAAATTAGAATAGGTGATGGGAAATATTCCTATAAGAATTCCAGTCAAAATATTAGAAGAGTTCCATAAGTTGATGTGGAACTATGTGAAGTCTAGAATCTGTAAGAAAAAAAACATGACAAGAAAATTAGACGAAGGTGGAATGTCTTTTCCCAGATATTTTTCTTATTTATAATTCCATTATGTTTTCACATTATTGGGGCATGGAATACAGTCGATAATAATAAACACAATATTTACCAAACAGACTTTTTTTTCCCCTGTGTCTGTGGTTTCCCCAATGTATAAGTAGAGGAGTTCTGATTGATGCTTACGGTTAATACATTATAATATTTATTCCTTATATATCAAAGTAGAAAATATTTGTTACAGAAGTGAAACTATCTACTCAGTTAAAGGTTAACAGATAAAAATATTAATATGGAACACTTGTTTTGTTATCGTACTGTATGTCGTGTGATTTTTATTATCACATGTTTAAAAATATATATATTTTTTTTTAAATTAAACTGAAATCCTACATATTTACTCTATAAAGACACAAATTAAGTTATTTTGAATTACTTTTCCTAAGCTAGACATATCATGCACGTTATTATTGCCAAAATTGTAAAAAAAATAAATGTTTTTTTCCCCCAATTTTTTTTTAGAATGAGAATTTATACATAGATAGATCTCATCAAATGAAAGCCTTTTTTTTTTTTTTTTTAAATATGTTTTGGTGCAATAAATGAGGGAGATGCAAATTGTGGTTGAACACACACAGAAAATTATGCAAATATTGCTTGTGTCCTTAAGTGTATGTCCAGCTTCTGAAGCGGTGTCCTCAAGAGGTTAAGCTCAGTCTAATCAAACACAGATGTTCCATAGTTTAAAAAGGAAGCACAGGCCATATCTGTAAATTGCAGGTCGAGATTAGTTTTTTGCTTCATGAAACTTAAAACGGTATTTTTAAAAATAAAAAATAAAAAAAAAATTAGCTTGTCATATTAAAGTAATTTGTTTTCATGAATAAAACTACTTACGGTCACATGTAGGTGCGGACAGCTGCATGAGTTGCATCTGCTACTACCAAGTGAAACAAATACACAGAATAAAACTATGTATCAGCTACAGGTCTCGAGTACAAAAAGCTTTGTGTCATAGTGAAGCAGCGACAGCAATATGTAGACACACAACAACACAAAACAGTTTTAATTTGAATAATTTATTATCAATATAATGTAAATGCAGTAACAGTCAATACTGACAACAAGCATAAGAGTGAAATACATTCATTCCTGAGTCTCCGCCGCCTGCAGCAGTCCAGGAGAACAGCATAATGACAGTGCTTACAGAGGTAGGCAAGAACAAATGCAATGCAGGCTACACCAGCAGGGGGCGACCTGTGTCTGTCCAGTAGGTTGTGGAATATATATTTGCCAATTTGCCACCATTATAAATCACATCTAATTTAATTTGTGGTCAAACTGCTTTACTACGGATTTACCCATCCTACAAATCTTGGCCGTAATCAGACCCATTTATTGAACAAAATATAGGTGATCCTTGGACTTTCGACGTTCTATATATTTGACGATGCTGGATGAGCCAGGACATTTAGAGCAATAGGTGGCCAACATCTAGATAGTGTTAAAATATCCCAGAGCCACATTCATGAACATTGTATGGTCATAACCCACCTACAATATTACATAAAAAAAAAATAAAATAAAAAATATCTGTAGCGTGAGATTCATTTTCTTCGAAGTTTAAAGATCCACGATCTAATGTGAAAAGATCCAATAGACAAACAACGCCATATGTATCAGGCCTCGCAGTGACGAATGGCTGCCCAGTTTGCAGGTGCTGTATAATCTTTATCAGCTTTTCTAGAAACCTGGCTTATCCTGAATGGCAAAATTATCTCAGTGGCTTATTTAAAATACCCAACAATTACAATACTGATAAAGAATATAACAAAAAACAACATCATTTTCATGTTCTCCTGGGGCAGTACATTTCAATGAGTCCGGTTTTAAAACATTGTGGGGTAATGTAGAGATTATTTAAAACCAGAATGTTAACTGGCTGCACAGGTTTCATAGCCCAATGTGTAACAGATACCCAAATAGCATAGGGGATTATGGACAATGACGGAATTGCAAGTTTTAGGCGCAAATAGTTGAGCTGGGAATATGACCTAGAATTTGCATTCCCTCCTGACAATTCGCCACAGTTCATGAATTAGTAAATAAACCCTATTGTGAGATAAAGCACTGAGAGGGAATTAACATTCTAGGTGATGCTTCAGACACAAAGCAGTTCTTTTATACTTACACTGCAATTATTAAATAAGTACAAAAGTAAAATAAGCGATACTTGTACAGTTTAAAAAAAAAAGAAAAAGAAAAATCCACTTTTAAGAATATTTGAGCGCCATACTATTTCCTATGTGAAATAAAACATTTCAAAGAGATTGTATTACGTTTTCATTCATCTAGGCTAATGTTCTGGATTTTAATCGATTAGTGGCAAATGGATTCCACATTTTTACTGACCTAAGGTGATAGGAAGCCGACCTCCCTCCCTCCCCTCCCCCCAACAGTCCCAATTTTGTCTGGCAGTCCCAAATTTACAGTCCTGTCCCGATTTTTTTCACTGATGTCCCACATCCATGGATACTCATCGAGAAACACAGCTTGAGTACACCATTGGCCTTGCTCACACTATGCATTATGAACCAGGAAAAAAAGATCTTTGTAACACTGTAGCGAGGTTGCTGGTGACAAGGTCCAATAACACTTTCAGGTGGAACAATATTTGAAAACAGAGTATGTAACAGACAGTCCTGATTGTCTGACGAACAAGAAGTGCTTTCGCTCAACCTTCAATTAATATATGTCAAGTAATAATGAATGCGATCAAGATCGTCTGAAAGTTGAGAAGAAAATACAATGTACAAGGAAAGATATACATAAGCACACACTGCAAGAAAAGCAAGCAGAGATAATAAATTATATTGCCAAGAGGCAGAAATGTCCATAAAATGAGTGTAAAAAGCAAAATATAACAAAATACTGGTTAACAAAACAGAGATAAATAGATACGTACGAAAGGCAGAATAAAATTATAGTGCATGTGCTTTTTACATTAAATCACAAACAAAAAGCAACATTTTCTGGACTGATTTCTCAGGGGAAGACCAGGATTTTTAATCCGGTACAAAAGTCTGTTCAAAACATAGGCTCTAGTGAAGGGATGCAATAAGCTAATCCGTTTAATACTGTTCATTCAATTTGTGGCAAAGGTGAGTTACCGAGCAAACCCTCAAATAACTCCAGAATCCCAACCAATACTCTACATGCAGCCAGTGTCATATCACTAAAGTTTGTTGTTTGTTTGTTTTTTAAAAAAGCCCTGAGACAGAATAGGACACGTTATTCAAGCCTACGTTGCATAATGTAACAGTTTCAGTAGGAAGACAACAGAATAAAATCCAAAAGTGTGTAGAGGTGTCCTGGTTGTCCCTTAGTGGCACAGAGTACCTTGTATTAAGCAAACACATGGCTTGAGATTGAAGACCACATCATAGCTGAACCTCTACATCTACTCTAGGTTATTTACAGAGTAAGTAACAAATGTTTTTGTTTGTTTGATTTTTTTTCCCAATGTGAGTTATTGATGTTCAAATTAGGAAGAACCTCATCTGGGAAAAAAATGTAAATGAGGTGAAGCATTGTTGGGGGAGATCAGCTTCTTGGGCTGTGGCACTGACCACATGAAGACCGAAATGTTTCAATCTTGGAACCTTGTGAATTTGATCTTCTGCTACTGTATATGGGAGTCATGGAGGCCATAAGAAGATGGGGAATCTTCTCACACATGAAATATAATGCACAGCAATGCAGTTTACTCCTCAATTAGTAATCCTCGGGTTCTTTCCTGATTGATGGAGCTTTGTCACCTTGCCCATGAGCTAAACTGACTGTCCCGACTGGCCACAGACTTGACACTGCAACGTTTCTTCACAATCATGTTGATGTAAGCTCTCATAATTTTGGTGATCTCACCAACCTAAGGCACAGAGATGTGAAAGATTAATCTGGTTTAGTCAGAATGTTCATATAAAATATTCAGATTTAAAATTAAATCTTGGATGTTTAGATTTTTAAGGACTGCTAAAATAGCATTAGTATGTCACCATGCATGATGTGAGCACCTGCAGATTTTAACACTTGATACTTGCACCATTTTCGAGGTGTGGGTTTCATGGCTTAGTATTTTCAAGCCAACATGTTGGTAGTTACATTTAGAGATAATTTCGATGCAAGGCAATATCAATTAAAATAAATTAATGAATTTAAAAATTGGATGCCAAATCAAGCATCCCCCATATCCGCAAATATTTATAAATTTATACTTATCAGGGCTCAACAGCAAGAACAAAACAGATGGCCCCAATGGTCATCAATATTTACTAATCATAAAATGCATACCACAAAAATAAAAATGTAAAATTATATATTTGTAAATACCAAACATGTCAATCTTTATTAGTAGGTGTAACACAATATCTCATTACTCGTATTATCCTCACACAAACCACTAGACTAAGACACAGACCTACTAAACACAAACATTACTATGGGATGGTCACCTAACAATGTTCTATCAGAATACACAGTCTGGAAGGGAGCCTACCTGGGTTGTTTCAAAGAACATCTCACGGTCGTCCACCGTAATCTTGAAGTTGTTGGGCTGTGGTGCTCCAAAGAAAATGATGTGCTCATACTGGAACGTCTCCAGGGGCTTTGGATCTCCTCTCTTATAAACGGACACATTCTCAGCACTGACTCCAAGCCACAAGTCATTGGGGAACCCACCTTCCTTATACTGCGTGGAACAGATTGAGGTCAGTTTAGGATGAAATTAAGATTAAAAAATAAATTTAAAAAAAGCATATATTGGGACAATACAATAAGAGTACAAAACTCGAAGAAATAAAGTCAGTTGTGGAGGAATATACTGGCTGTGATAGGGGGAAAAAACAACAAATAAGATTTATGCAGCAGATATTTGCAGAGGAAAACGCAAACTATTCTTTAAAATAAATGTATTAAAATAATTTACTATATAACAAAGTTTAACATAAGTGTAGTTGGGCCACCCCAACCTACTAATGTTGGATGCATGTACTGTGATTATTAGGAACACCCCTATGTGAGAAAAAAAAAAAAAGACTAAAAAATAGGTTATTTCAACTTGCCAATTGGTTAATATAGCAGAATGTGGGTGATCAGCACAAGTATTCACACATTCCTCTAAAGATATCTTTGCTTTTAGTAGAATACTTTAGTCTTTATTTTGGCCACAACAATTGCTATCCTGACAATGCAACTTGCTATATTCTGGTTTTACATTACATTATAATCATATACTTTGTGAATATAAGAACGTGGACTAGGCTGATTTCCTAGGTGCATACCTCGACATCGAAGAGGGTAGATCCATATCCAGGCCATTCACTTACAATTGCCATGTAATTCACCATGGCTTGATGCTGGGACATTCCTTGAAGTCTCTTCCACTTCTCATCTATGCTGGTACGAGCTGCCGACAGTTCCTCTTTCAACCACATCTCCAACATCTGTTCCTCTTCCATCTTCTGCTTCTTCATTGAACCTACTTTAAAGCCCCGTTTCAGAGTCCCTTCCAGGAAACTTGTTCTCCTCCTCTCCAATGTGTGTCCAGATGTGCTACTGCTCTTTGTGGCCTGCAGGATTTTGGTTTTAAGACGTTGAACGGGATACACAGTTTCCAGCGACCAGGTTACCTTTGAGCAGTCCCCATGGTGGTATTGAAGTCTAAGAGCGGCCAAGTGCTGTAAAGTCTCTTCTGGAGCTGGGAAATGTCCACTCGTCAAAGTTTCATGAGCCTGGAAACCAATAAATAATGTTTTCCTTATATTTCCATAGTTAAAATACTATAGAAACATAGAATGTGACAGCAGATTAGGACTATTTGGCCCTTCTAGTCTGCTTAATTTTCTAAATACTTTAATTAGTCCCTGGCCTTATCTTATAGGTAGGATAGCGTTATGCCTATCCCACGCATGCTTAAACTCTTTTACGGTGTTAAACTCTACCACTTTAGCTGGAAGGCTATTCCATGCATCCACTACCCTCTCAGTAAAGTAATACTTCCTGATATTTTTAAACTTTTGCCCCTCTAATTTAAGACTATGTCCTCTTGTTGTGGTAGTTTTTCTTCTTTTAAATAAAGTCTACTCCTTTACTGTGTTGATTCCCTTTATGTATTTAAATGTTTCTATCATGTCTCATCTTTCATTTCTACCATTTCCTAAAATAAAGTTGTATAAACCTTTATTAGAGAGATTTGCCTTATTCCACCAGCCTTGTGATGTTATTCCTATGGGCACAGGAATATGCTTAATTTCAGGTCATTGACTAGCTTGAGCAGGTTGTGTGCAGAGTTTTTGTAAGATCAACTGTATTTCAAAAACAACTTCATGTGAATCTTTGTAGAAAAGCCTAAATATTCCTTTAGGATAATTTTTTTTTTTATATATATACATTTTGACTTATTTTTTTGTAAGGTTCTACAACTTTATTTCTTGTACAGTTTTACGGTTATCCTTTTGATAATGTGTTTAATTTATGCATAGATTTAAATTCTCTGTTAGACCCTATAACTGCAATACAACTCCAATTTAAAAAAGACACTCCAGAGTAAAATTAAACATATTTAGATCTGTGGTTTTCAGTCATTGTGCCACGCCAGACTAGTGTGCCATGAAGCAACACCAAGGGTGCCAAGTCGAATAAGCTATTATGGTGCTGTTGGTTAAAATCATTAAAGGTACTCTACGGATTCTGTAATTTGATCAGTTTTTTTTATTTATTTTAATTTCTGGCAGCATAAATACAAATTAATTTTATTAATTTAATGTTGCATATTGTTTTTATAAACGTTCTCTCTTTTCTTTGGGAGATCGAGCTTATCAGATAGGTTTACTTCAAATCATCTCTTAATGTCCTGAGGTGCAAATTATTGAAAAGAACAAAAAATATGCTGGTCCATATAAAATGGTATTGTATCTCTGATTGTGATTTTAGCTCGCTATTATATAACACATTCTCACCATTCATTGTTTTTGACAAACCTGCTCAAACATGAAGGCAAATTCAACACCCTCTTTAGGGACACTCTGCACATCCAAAAAGCAGTAAAGTTTGAAATATAGATTCCACTGGCCTTCCTCCAAGTCTTCCTCTCCTGTACTGGCAAGCCTAAAACAGATGGCAAGATCGCAGATTACATCTCATTTAAACTCATATTTTGGGTTGGCAGTTTTAGTAAAACACATTAATTATATATTGTTTTTACATTTTACTAAATACATTAGCCAAAGATTGTTCTTCGATACTGGAAATCTATTCTAAAGCAGTTCAAAACAAGGTCTAGATGTTTAAGTGACTGACTAGAGAGAAGAAGTGGTGAATTTAAATCCATTTTTATATTGCAGTATCACTTTAGGTCGCATTCCCCAAACACATTTTTAAAATAAACAAATAATGTGGACTATGAAAAATTAAGACTTGTAGAATTTCAGATAATAAACGGAGATTTCAGTTTACATTTCACTGTATGAATAGTTGACTACAAGTTCTATACAATCTAAATATCCTGTATTTCTACAAATGTATATAGACACAAACACACACACGCACACCACAATATTTAGTTGCATGTATTAGAAACAATATCTAGACATTGCCTGACATACACTTTTGTGATAACATAGGGAAAGTGGATTATGAAAGGGAATATATTTTAAGTTCAGCGAATGGTCATACTTCTCAAACTTTGCAAGGACATCGGCCACAATAACACGGCTCTCAACCGCCCGGTCAGTTGTTTTATTGCGTTCAAAGAGTGCAAACATATTGCGACTGTTATCCATCGAGAGACCTCGGATTAACTTCTCCACAACCTGCAATGGCATAGATTAATAAATATGTGATGGGCACTACATGGTCCCAAAAAGTATATTTTATATATCTCTTCGTTAGATAATATACCTCCAATGACAAACCTGCATGTATTTAATTATGCATTTTTAATTGGGGTTATACCATATTGCATAAACTGCAAGAAGACACACTCTTGGCACATAAAACACTTCAGCAAGCTGAAGTGTTTAGGGGTCTTCAGTGTCTCTTTAAGAAAACTAGAATGAAACGGAAACAGCTTTTACGAATAGCTCTAGTGTCAATCAAAAGTAGCCACCAATTATCACCACTGACAAAACAAGACAGACATTGACTTTTTTTACAGTACACTTTGACTCTGTGTGAGGTACACTCACCTCTCCAGCAGTTGTATGAGAATTAATACTAATCTGACATGACCCTCCTCCATGGCAATAAACAGTGGTGGTCATGTTACTGCGGGTGAGCAGTGCGGAAATCTCCTCTTGAGATGGGACCAGCTCTCTGCATTTTGTTTTCTTTAGAGCATCTGCCACAAATTGAGCAAACTGCTCAACCTCTGAGCCTGGGAAGGAGTCTCTCACCCTGAAAGAGCAAGAATTATTATAATAGGAACAAATGTAATCAATTGATTGACCACCAACAAAAAGTTCCAGGCAAGTATCTCTTAGAATCTCCTCTTCTGTTTGTCTACATTGACACAGTATAATAGACATACCCTGACAAGAATGGTGTTCTACATTATTTAATGAGACACCAACAATGTCAATCTATTTAAGGGCCACATATTAAATTTAATCTCAGCGAACATTAAAATATTGACATCTACTAAATGCCTCTTAACAGAATTCTAAGAAAACCACATTCATTCAACTAAATCCTTAACACTCACCGTTTTAGGTGGAACTTGAGATAGCGCAGAATATCTCGGCCAGGCAAGAATGTGCAACTCATACAGGACAAGAGCTGCCAATGGCGCAAGTTCCCTGCACTATTTGGCTGAGGTACGTGATTGGTCTGTTTTATAAGTTGACAATACACCTCATCTCGCAATGGCTTCAGATCCTGGCAGGTCTGCAGTATGCCCTGAATTATTGGCACGGGGTCAGGAACGCTCTCAATTTCCTGAAGAGAGTTAAAGATCCGTACAGCCTCATCTTGTAGAGTGGTGTACCCTTTCTCTTTTTGTACTGCGAGGAAAGAGAAGATATTTGGGGAAGTCAGTCTAGAGCTGGCAATAGCATTTAGTTGTGAAATTTGGTTACAGATCTGGTTGGCAAAAAATCCCATGAGATAAAAGTGGGATTATCAGTCTACCGAGAAACTAAATTGGATGCAAGAAATTAAGCACTTTACTATGGCACATATATCTATCAGAGCTTAGAAAAAACTAGTGGAAGCCACGTACGGTTGAGGTTGACATCCCCATATGGCAGTGGTAATAGTGGTGAATGCAGAGGGTGCTGTGTGTATCTCAATATAGGGTTTCTTCGATATGTTTGCTCTACAGCTTCACCATTCATACTGTTTTCCTGTAAAAAGAAATAGAAAGTTAAAGCAAGTGAAGAAATTACAAATTGCTGGTGAAGATTTCTTTCAACCACAAAGTTGGCAAAGCCATTTGAGCCACTTAGATTGTCATGGAAACCCCTTTGCCCATTTTCTCCAATAAAATAAAACCTCTCACTGACTAATTCAAGTTCCACACTGTGGGTGATACTTCATCACTTTCAGTACATAACCCCACCAACAAGACGTCTCCTTTAGTACAAACTAATTTTATCACAAACAAAAATGTCTAACAGAGTTATTCCCTATAGTGAGATTTCAAGGAGAATTTAAAATGTAAGGTCTGAACTGGAAAATTCTCTAAGTCAGCTAGACTTCCCATACCACTACTTTGGCCTTAAATTTGAAATTCACTTTGAACTCACCTTGAATTCTTACTTTAGTAAATAACCCTATAAGTGTTTTGATAATTATTTTAAAAGCATTTCAGTGGCTATTACCATTTACATACCTACCTTGCTAACCTCATACCCCCCTTTTTATTATCTTACAATTTCTAATCAGTTGTTTGTTGTAGAGAAAAAAAAAAAACAGAAAAAAAAACAACTGGTTATCATAATAAAATTAAATTATTTTTTTTTTTTTTAAAGTTTATCCAAAAATATGTAATCATTTGGAAAGCTCATCCAACACTGTGAAATTGAATCCCATATCAGATGTAGAATATTCTTCACCATAGTCCTTTTATACGCAAGGGAACTACGGAGATCCTCACTCATTCTCTGCTTGTGCCACTAGATGGCGAAAGAGCATAGAGAGATAAGTGCCTTAGCTCTAAGTTTCGCTCTCACCACGATTAGCTTCCAATTCAGAGGAGATCAAGCCTTGTATGTACCTTGATGTCCCTGATGAGTTGTTGCGTGGGCGTCTCAATGGGTGCTTTGCTGTCAATCACTCCCTGGATGGCATTTGCCCATCTCATAGCTTCATTAAGCAACTTAGTGTACAGTCTGTATGAGTGTTTCCGACCATAGACTATAATATTCCAATATCCTGAAATAAAGGGAGATGAGAAGAGGTTTATAACACAAGCTCTTGAGAGAACAGACCTATTCGCTGACCCCATTACAAAGAACATTTCAAGGAGACTATTCTGACCCAGAACAAAGATGTCAACCATGTACTTTATGCAGGATATTCATAGCAACAGAAGTGTCAATGACATGGACCTCACCAGTGAGGTATAACAGATACCTTCCAGGCACAGTAAATAAGAGGTTAGTTTCTGACACACTGAGTGCACAGGTGTACTTCAAAGAAGTTGTAAGGTCAGATTGTTGGAGCAACATTTCAGCTCCCTCAATATATCCTCTTATGTTAGATAAGGCAGGAGCCACAGTATTTGAAAATTACCAGTTTCTGTGTGGGTCTTCTCATCTGCCTGAACAACAGAACACAAGCTATTGAGAACGAGAGTGCCGAGTTTAGAAGCTGTACGCTCAGAGGATTTGTAATAATCCAACGCGTTTCGGGTCAACACAAACCAGCGTCTCTTTAGTTTCAAAGATGCCATTTTATTGCTGTTTTGAACCTCTTTATGGAGCCATCCTGGGGAAGGAAGACAAACAAGTAATTAAAGAAAATTCTTAATATGTCTGTAGAGAAAAAATAAAATAAAGAAAAACTCCAGTTTGTTAAGATAAATGTAATTTCCGGCATCTGCTCAAACTCCAATAATGAAATTGAGAAAACTTGGATTGGTACAATGACTGAAGACTAGTTCTGGTGCGGACTGAAAAAAATGACGGAGTGTATAAAAGAGCATCATTATTCCTTCAGTACAATCTTTATTACTTTGTCAGCTGTGGCAGTGATGTACCTCTCACTAAGAACTCCTGCCCGTCCACCTTGGCCTCTCCTCTAGGTTTCTGCAGCAGAGATATCCAGTGATGCATTTCCTCCGCAATGTCCGTGTTACAGTGAATGACGCGGTTCGCCGTGATAATCACAAAGGAGTTTGGCCTGGACAATACAATACCCGTTACTAAAACCCAGGACAAATAACCGATCAAAAAATAAAAATATATTGACCTAGTATGTGTATGTTGAAGCCAGTTTAAAAGAGATGTGTAGAATATATATATTTAAATAAACTAGAGCGATACTTCATCTGCTGCAAGATGAACTGAAACAATTGAGCCAGTTTTCATAAATATATTTTAAAAATGTAATTTGATGGGAGATTTTACATTATGCCCTCTGTTCCTTAAGGTAGATATTTAGAAATATTGTCCAGATTTACAAATCTCCTCCAGAATTAAACACTGTTGTTCAAGGAACCCCACCAGAGATTTTGGATATCATGATTTTCTCTTGTGCATTAACCAGCAGCTTAATTCTGGCAATAAAAAGGAAACGGTCTTCCCATTACACTGAATTAAAAGCAGTCTTCACTGAACCCCACATAGTTCATATGTAAATGCATGCGCTGGTGGTTAAACTGCCTACATGCACAATAAGAATCTTGGAGCTGGCTGGAGGTGTGTTCCTGCTGTTTAGAGCACATGACCTGGACGTTCTCTGAGGAGAAGTGGGAAAAAAAATTCTTCTTTTTTCTCCTATTCTTTCCCCTCCCTATCTCTTCTGATTTCCCCCTTCATTTTCCTCCCTCCTTCTCTCTTTATTCCCACTACTTATTGCGATCAATAGACTACCCTCCTACCTTGATCTCTTAATAAAGTGTGTTCCATAGATTGCAATACCCTATCATCTCTACGTTGCCAAAAACACTCAATAACAAACTTTGTGGGTTGCGACTGGTAAGCAATTCACCCAGAGTATCCGATATGACGAAACACTGTTGTACAGTATCCCCATGTTATGAGACATACTGTTGTTCACTGTTCTATCCCTGATATTTCTGAACCCAAAAAGCATTATACTGTACAATGGCTTTATCTTATACATTGTAAATTCCATACAAATAAACTCTGGTATTATGTGTATATAAACAAAACCAAATAAAGATTGTCAAAAAAAAAAAGTCTTTATAGCGACCCATGTGCCTTATCCCTAGATAACCTTGAATTTGCATCCTTCAACATGTAAGATCATCCACAACTTCAACATTTGGGGCAAAAATAATTCCCAACAAAATAAGTAATAGATAAAAGCACGCAATGTATACATACACACTATATAAAATTCACACGGTCTAAAGAAAAACAAAAAAAAACAAAAAAAAAAAAACTCAAGAAGGTTAATGAAAGTTCACTTTACCTGTCCGGACAGTCTGACGCACAGACCGAGTCAATGAGACCCACATCCAGTGTTCCCTTGAGGAGACAAAGGAAGCACAGATAAGTGACTCTTCAGAACACAAATCACATCTCGCCCTTCTTCCAATCTGTAATGATTCACCCTCTCCGTAATACAATGTTACAGTCGGGATACTGTTCACTTACCACAGCATTCTTGGGGTTAGCTTGCTCGTCTCTCATGTCCCTCAGCTGCTGGGCTGTTGCAGAATGAACGCGACTGAGAACGTTAAACCAGCCACTGGAAGATTTTAAGAGGACAAGCGTTTAGGTTGTCTGTAGTAAACTTGGCTGTATGCCCTGTAATATGCTGTGTGACACAATGTAGTCATGTGATGAAATTTAGGTTTCTAGATACAGCAAAGTGTACATTAACCGCAGACCATCACATCTGGCTGTGTCAGGCAAAGGAAAAATGCATCGTAAACACTCCTGGTTCACTCCGGGCTCATTATTAAAATATTTGACATGGTTTAAGTTTATAGACATGACACGTCACTTTGGCCTACTATGAAATGTTATTGTGTGACATGTTGGATTGATGTATTGAAGGTAGTTTCTACCTACCTGGCATCCTCTGGTGTTTCAGCCACAATATGATATGTTCTTTCTTCTGTTACAATATCTAGAGCATTTTCCTTCTCGTGTATATCTATAATTGCTCTTAAACAAAAATAGAAGAAATACGCAAAATATGACAAACGGTTTAGGTGAAAGAAATTAATTTGGCAATCAGTAAACCAATAAAACATACCAACTTGATAAAATGCTGCTTAACATGTCACCAAGTAATAGACCTTCAATTCCAAAAACAAGAAGAAACTGCATATACATTTTATCGCCATGTTTGCTCACCGCAAGAATCTGCCTAATCCTAACAAATTTCAAAGTAAAAAGTAGTGTTGTCCAAATACTCAAGGTAACTTAAAAGCAGTTTTATTAGAGCAATACAGAAATGCCAACATTTCAAAGAGGGTTTTCGTGAAGCTTGTGGGTAGAGATGTCGCGAACTGTCCGCGAACTGTCCACTGGCGAACAATAGCGTGTTCGCGTTGGGCGAACATATCCGATTTCCGGTCCGCCCCCTATACGTCATCATTGAGTAAACTTTGACCCGGAACCTCACAGCCAGTAGACACATTCCACCCAATCAGCAGCAGACCCTCCCTCCCAGGAAGTGTCTGCTGACTGTAAGGTTCCGGGTCAAAGTTTACTCAATGATGACGTATAGGGGGCGGACCGGAAATCGGATATGTTCGCCCAACGCGAACACGCTATTGTTCGCCGGCGGACAGTTCGCGACATCTCTACTTGTGGGTCGATACACTGCCATTTCTGTATTGTTCTAATAAAACTGTTTTGTTTTTTTTGGGGGGGGGGGGGTTTAAGTGACCTTGATCCCACTCATTTTTACTACATGTATAGAGCTTGCCAGCCCCAGGTCTGGTTACAACAAGGTCCAGCATTTTTTTAAGTGTGTGGATTCCTCATCTTCATGTGAATCCTAAGAAATTTCAAAGTCAAAATAGCACAGTCACAATTGTATAGGTATAGGGAAATCTCTATGTCTATTCATGAGTTTGCCCTAACATCTAAAACATGGGACATGACCAGGACAAAAAATAAATAAATAAATAAATAAAAATAAAACACAGGCTTCATATCGAGAGAAATACTACTGACATGCACATTATTGTGAGGTCCTTCTCTGTTTTAGAGTCACTAAACTCTATACTATTTCTGTATCTGGACAAGGACTTTGGGAATTTTAGGTCTGAATAGCGGAACTGGGAAAACATCTAGACTCTGGCTAAAATAAGCAATTCAAATTTTAATTAGTTGACAACAATGTATAAAATGTAAATGGCTACTTTTAACACTCACTTGGCCGTTCGAACATCAATGGTCCCTCTCAGTCGTTCCTCACTATCGTTTTCAAAATACATGAGCTTGGACTCACGCAGGACAAACCAGCGCCGTTTCCAGTTGCGCCGAGATAAAGTGGACATTCCTCCTCCTTTCTTATATAACCAACCAGATTTCAGAGCTTCCTGCTTCGTGCGGAACCACATGAAGGTCTCGTCCTTCAGTACGCACCAGCGCCGCCTCCACAGATTCATTAGACCACCAGCTGGAAGGAGACAATCACGGCACGCATTAAAACAGCCATTCCCAGTGCACCTACCGTCAACACACAACACCGGCTGGCATGCATGATGCATGTTGGTAAACCTGATTTAGTAAAACTAAAATATCGTTCCACAAATATCGTTCTCTTTCTAGATATTCGGAATCATAATGCTTATAGGTTAGCACGTTTCTTAAAAAAATTACTTTAGCTTTGGATAAACCATCCTGGGAACACAAGCTATAGGCCAGTTCTGAGCCAATAATACCAGTGTCTCACTATTGTTCTTTCCAAAGAGTACAATTTGCAACTATGTGAGTCCTGTTAGGTGAATCTCCCTCTGATACTATGTGGCAGCTCTCAGCTGATTCTACATATTCTGTTACTATACCTTCTGATTCCGTAAGAAGCAATCGAAAGATACAAACATGGACGTTTGTGTGTATACTCATTAAATTATGCAAAATGATCAGGGCCTCCCAACCCAGTCCTCAAGTACCCCCTACCAGTCCGGGATTTAAGGATTACACTGTTGTGTCTAAAGTGTTTGTTTTCTTTTAAAAACACCTTAGACACAACTGGGTAATCCCTAAATCCTGGACTTACTTGAGGACTGGATTGGGAACCACTGGTTTAGGGCAAGGGTAGGCAAACTTCAGCACTCTAGAAGAAGTAGACTACATCTCCCATGATGCACTTACAGCAACAATGCTTCCAAAGCATATGGGTAGATGCAATCCACAACAACATCTGGAGTGCTGAAGGTTGAATACCCTTGATATGGACCCTCAGTGCCACATTTTTTTTATGATGTAGAGGTATGTGTGCAGGATGTTTCTGTAGATTTATTAATCACTGGGTCATTAAGCACAGCTTGTGGTTCATAATTCAAAGCATAAAAAACACGCCCAATCTGAGAAGCTACCTTTCATGTAGAGATAGCTGTGAAAATAAGGAGGGCCTCCACCGTTAAACAGTGTGACACGTCCGGTCATTAATTCTTCATCTGTGTCAATGTGACTATCAGCTTCGTCATCACTGTCCAAGAACTGCAATTAAAATAGTGCGGTCTTTAATGGTTTGCACAAATAATCAATGTAGGTCAATAAACAGGCATCAGCAAATGGGATACATGTGTTGAGCCCAACGGCATCGACAGTATGGAGGCCAACCTAGAACCACGGACATCAGCTAAAAGGGTCATTAAAGAAGAGCACCATGGAATAGAACACTGAAAATCACCAATAATTTGTGTTGGCATTTTTTCCTTATTAGATGCTCCATTTTCCTCTAAATTTATATTAAAGAATTACATACTAATTCATCTTATGCAATGAAAGGCCAGGGCAAAGAAGATAAATATTGTAGAAGAATTGTTTAATTCCTCCTCTTTCTGTACACTCTCTCAATGCTGACTTCCAGGTACAAAGGACAGAAATAAAATAAAATACATTTTTGTTAAATATAGGGATACAAAAACACAATATTAAAATCCTGGGAAGCGACAGTTCCCCTTTAAGGGAAGATCTATTGCTATAAAATACATTTTACTGGGACTCTTTTTAAAAATGAGATTGTTACAAGTATCTGTCTCTAGTAAAATTCGACTGGAACACGTATTCAATATCACTGGAAAAGAAAAGTGCTTTAAAGACTAAATGCCCATTCCAGAATAATGTAGAGTGGTTTATTCACTAAAAATCTAATTGCAGGATTAAGGCTAAAATAATGTGCTAAAAAGTCGATATTTTTTTATATGATATAGAATAAAAGTTATATTTTATTTTTACTATCAACAAGTCCTTGGAGTGCGGTCATTTACAATCTTTTTTTTGTATCTTGTGTCTGACCAGCACAGGGAAATTACTCTCTAATCTAGGAGTGCAAGCATCTCAGAGATATATTTATATAAATATAAAATTGCCACATGAATCAGTTTGGACAGAAAAAAAAAAAAAAATTTCTATGTGCATTAGTCTCCAAAATATTTTTATTTTTTAAATGAAAACATTACTTTTATTTTACATGATATAAACCTCAAAATAAGAGTAATTTTAGATTTTAGACAAAGGAGAAGAGTGAATGGCGCTTACACAGTGAAATACATAATCAAAACACAGTGATGGAGTGAAAAAGGTGTTCCCCAACACCCTAAAGACAAAGTTATAAAATGTTGTTTTCCAGTGCCCTCATTTTATAACTTTAATTTTAGATTTTGTAATGGAGTAAGACTTACCGAATCCAGACTGCCACACTGAGATCCATAACTGTTAGGCTTGGAGATCCTGAGAACTTCCTCATCAGTCAAGTGTCCATCACTTAAGTTCATATTGTCGGCAGAACCTGGTGGACCTTCATCAAATTCTTCATGATCATAGTCTGATTCCACATCTGGTGGGTAGCTATATATAGGCTCTTGTGCTTCCTCACTGTTGCTCATTGTATCCGATACACATTGATAAATACTTTCAGACTTATCAGAGAGAGCACTGTAAGCATCTTGAGTAGATACATGCTCTACTGGGGAAATGGATACACTTATCTGGCTTTGGTCTTCAGTTTGATCTGATGGAATTTTCATGTAGGTCTCCTCCTCTGAACTCTCACTAGTCCTCATGTCAGTATCTTCCAGCAACATAGGAGGAGGAGGCGGTAAGAATTCATCATCTGCATGAAACCCTTCATCCACCTCCTCTTCCGCTAAAGGTGCTACTACATTGCTGTCCATATTGAGTGGTCCCTCAATGCCATTCTCCAAACTCTGTGTGCTCTCATCTAAATTACCAAAGTCCAGCAGTTCCAGGAATTCTTGAGCCACCCGTGATGCTTCTTTCTCCAGCTTATGGATTTGTTCTTCCCTTTGCCGAGTCACCTCGTTGCGAGTATCGGCACAAGATATGGAAATGCCGTCCAATTTTTGCTGATGATGCAACTTTTCAATCTCTTTTTCCAGTCGCAATATCTCCTCCATCTGACGTCGTTCTTCTTCTTGCAGAAGGTTTTCCAAGTTCCTTGCTTTTTCCTGCTCTTCCTACAGTGAAAAGGTTTAATTAGTAAAGATGAAATCATAGTAAACTGAACAGATTAGAAATTAACACCCATCTGCACACATTGGAACTAGAGATCAAGTGAAATATCAGATAATGTAAATACAATAACAATACAAGATCAATGAATTCTATATTGGATTTTACATTTCAAGTCTAAAAGACATAATAAAGTTACGAAATAAAGTGACACACGCTACTTGAATGGCTATACTTTCCAACTTTCTGGGTGCCATTGTCCTGAATAGTGAAACAGTAAGCTTGAGGGATCATCTTAATCAAATACAAACACTTGCTAGTTCTTTTAATAGTACATTGGGCACCATGCTCAAAATAAAATTAATTAGATTAAAAAGGTAACAATATGTACAACAAGTGAAACTAAGATTTAGTTTCCTGGTTGTTGCGGAATCAAAAAATTTCTGATCCTTTGCCAAACATTGTAATGGGTGCTCAATAGTGATGTCCCGAACGGTTAGCCACGGACGGCGAACATAAACAAACTTTGACCCTGTACCTCACAGTCAGCAGACACATTCCAGCCAATCAGTAGCAGACCCTCCCTCCCAGACCCTCCCACCTCCTGGACAGCATCCATTTTACATTCATTGTGAAGCTGCATTCTTAGTGAGCTGTCCAGGAGGTGGGAGGGTCTGGGAGGGAGGGTCTGCTGCGGATTGGCTGGAATGTGTCTGCTGACTGCGAGGTACAGGGTCAAAGTTTATGTTCGGCGAACCGTTCGGGACATCACTAGTGCTCAATAATAAAGGTGAACCAGAAGTCCTCTAACCAAGGTATGGGAATGGCAATTTACCATGAAGATCTTAGTCATTCCTTATGTTACAAGTACTCTCTCTGACAGTATTTGGTTTTAATACTAACCTGTGCTGCTCGAAGTTCAGCCTCCAATCTTTCTCGTTCTCTAGAATAAAAGAGAAAAGACAACTTAAAAAATAAATAAATAAAATAAAATCACAATGGACAGGCAAATCAATAGACTGCTGCATAGATCGCCAGAAAGACGCAAGTCTGTGCATCTGAAGAACAGTAGCACCTACAAAGTCACCCTCTATCTACTGCCTATTGGCAGGGAACATATTCACAGTACATAAAGCACTAAATGTAGAAAAGGAACAGCAAATACAATAATGTAACCATGGAAGTATTCAGTTTGCCAAAATTAAAGCAGGAAACATTTGGAGTTTGGATACGATTTTCCATGAAAAGCCACGCGGAAGAGGAAGAGCAACACGCAATATTTATGAATATGCAACGAGCTCCACACATCTACAAAGCTGCCAGTATTTACAATTACAATGTATCTAGCAAAGGAAACAATCATCCCTTGTGCTTTTCACTTCCTGCCAATTCGTACAGCAGCTTCCGGACTGGAAGTCAACCTGTTGAAAGGCCATTTAAGCTCTGTTAAACCATGGAGAATTTCCAGGTTTTTAAATCTAACTCCTAGAATGCCTGAGCATTCATTGGGGATGATGCAGTCCTGCCTTAGCATCAAATGTTTGGAGATGGACAATAGCTTGCTGGATGGAGAAAAGCTCCGAAATACTCACACAGGGCTTTTGGTGTTTTACACATTTATGCAAAACTAAGATGAACAGAGAGCAATTATTTATTAAGAGGAACTGATTTTAGTTTTCTTTTTTATCTTATTTTAAATGCCCTATCGTTACCATTCATTGCAATTTTGAAGTGTGCTTCTAATTTGGGAAAATATTTATTTTGGTGGTCAATCCAATTTGAAAAGGCTGCTTATAGTTTTGAAATAAAATAGTTGGTAAAACAAAGCAAACTCATATGGAGTTTGTAGGGTCTCAAAATGTGGGCATGAGTAGGTGAATTTCTTTACTTCCTATCTTCTTCTTCTCTTCGCTTTCGTTCCTCCTCAATCCTCCTCTTTTCTTCCAGCTCCTGTCTTCTCCTTTCTTCCTCTTCTTTCCGTTTCCGTTCCTCTTCTTCCCGACGCTTTCGTTCTGCCTCCAGCATTTGCTGAAATAGTCGCCGTGCAGTCGTGCCGCGCCAGTGCTTCTGAAACTGCACCGCTGATCTGCGGAGTCGCAAAAATGATGATCGCCAGAAGTGGGCTCGATAATTCTTCTGAATTAGGACTATGCAGTGGCGAACCTTCATATAATGCTTTCTGCAACGGAATGAAGGAAATTAATATTATTATTAAAATATATACAATACATATAGTGATGAAACATGTAAGCGCAAAAAACTCAAAGCAAGTAATCCACTGTTGTGCTTAATTGGGCAGATTCCTATCGGACCTCTTCGTTAGATCACAGTCATGGAACAAACAGTAGCTCATTAGGTGAATTCCAAATATGAAGATCACTCTCTGGTTTTGCAACAGATGTCCCCAGTGAAGAGACATTCACATCAAGGGCACACCAAGTACATGATCTCATTGCTTATTCAGTAATATATTTCTGTAAACTGCATTTCACTCAATTTATAATATGCAAAATAAAGTATAAAGAGTATGCCTACTCACTGCCCCACACTAGCCTTAAATTCTCCCAATACTACTACCACCTGCACACACACTGCTATAAAAGGACACTTTAGTCACCAAAACAACTTTAGTTTCATTGAAGTTTCGCTGCTCAATCCTCTGCTATTTAGGAGTTAAATCACTTTTGTTTCTGTTTGTGCAGCCATAGCCACACCTCGCAGGCTGTGACTCATACAGCCTGCATGAAAAAAAAAAAAAAAGTTTTAATTTTCAAATCAGATGTAACATACTTTAAAATATGTTTTCTCCTGCTCTGTAACTTGAACTTTGATTACATATAGGGTGTTCCTGTAGGGTCTAGCAAGATATTAACAGAGTAGGAGATATGAAATTCCAAAATAAACAGAATTTGCAATAAAGGAAGTGTAAACATTAGATGACTCTTTACAAGAAGTGTTTAGGAAGGCTGTGTAAGTCACTTGCAGGAAGGTGTGCCTAGGGATGCATACACAAAGTGATTTAACTCCTAAATAGAAGAGACTTACACAGTGAAACTGCAGGGGCATGATCTATACACCAAAACTGCTTCATTAAGCTAAAGTTGTTTTGGTGACTATAGCATCTGTGGCAAACCTAGCCACTTGGACAATACAGAGAGAATGTGCCTTTAAGTGCCTTTATGAAATTCCAAAATAAACAGAATTTGCCTTTAAGGGTTGCCTGTATGTCTAGAGAGATATGTGCTTCATTCCATGTGTATACTGTATGTATGTTCTGCATTGCCTTTTGCCGAATGCAAATGGCGGTTTTGTATGGGGATTTTCTTTCGTTTCACGAACGGCACTTTGGAGAGCCGTTCGTGAACCGAACGCGATACCCCCTAATAGCCCACACACTTAGAGGCGTGTGGCGCTAGTTAACCGATTGCAACATTGTTGCAATCGGTTATTAGAGGCTCTCCTGGGTGGCCGTCGTTCGACTACCGACCATGCGGCGGTCGGCCATCTTGGATCCTTTGTTCCCTCAGCGGTGCTAGGTCATCGAACGCATAGTACTACAAATAGCTATTCGACAGCACGAACACCGCTGAGCCTCCAGGACGTTCGGGAGTTTCATGATCTTGTTCACTAAAAGCAATCGGTCCTTTTTGTATGTTTTAGAAGAAATGTGTTTTTCGTGCGGCGTTCGGTTATTTTAGCTGGGATCTGAGCGGTAATCTCACGAATGATGCGCTCAGACCCCAGCTATCTACCGAACGTCCATTCGTGTAAATCCACCGTATAGTTAACAAGTTATGTATTTTTGTTTAAATTGTCGGTTCTGCTGCACGAGGGGATAATCCCCTTAACGGTGCATTCTGGGAAGATGATCCCTCTCGTGCAGCGGTGCCTGATGGGAGAAATCTGTTGTAATGTAAGTCCCCCATGTAGTCCCCTCTGGGAGTGCCCCTGGGAAGGGACTCAGGAAACCCCTTGCATGGGGACTTGTATAAATTGTCCAGCCGATTAAAAGGATTTCAGTTGACTCTCAGAACTGTGTCTCGTCCGGTTACTGGGAGGTTGGGGATATTGCCTTGTTGTTTCAGCGCTTGACTGTGGATTCTTTTCTGAACCAGCGGAATTCGTGGATTATTTATTGGCGTTCCGCTACAGCATCCCTTTAAATTTTCCCTCTACTAAACCTGCGTGCCCCACACTAGCCTTGCATTCTTCTACGAAAACCACTGCCTGTTCCACACTAGCCTTACATTTTCCCTCTACTAACCTTACATTAGCTCATTACTAGCCTTACATTATCTCAATACTACCACTGCCTGCCCCACACTAGCCTTACATTCCTTCCTCTACTATCACAGCCTGCCTTACATTCTTCCACGTTTATCACGGTTTGCCACCAAAGTTACATTTTCCCACTCCTATAGTTTAGGTATCTACATGTTGTCCCGAACAGCCTGCCCCATAACGTTCCATGTTTTTTGCTTTTACCAGCATTGTAGCATGAATTAGCGCTACGGAATCTGTTTGCGCTATATAAATGGCGATAATAATCCTTTGCAACCACTAGATTGCATTGCTTTCCCACATGAGCTCTGATAATGTACTCTGTAACCCCATTGCACTGCACATGCTTCACCATTCAGGTAAAGTTCTGATACTCTCACCACCTATTCTGCAAAATACTCCATACGCTTTTCTTCAGAAGCACTGAATGTTCCAACATCCTGTTTGTTGACCCCAGAGCCCCCTTTTGCCTAAACGTGTATCCTGTGCTCTGAACCCAAATAGAAATATCCACTAAAAATAGAAAAAAAACAGCTGTACTGAAAACCAGCCACTCCGAATCACATCGATCTGCACAAAACTGCTGTATCTCCAGATCTTAACATAAAACAGACATCCTCAGAGTATTGAGTGCTACCAGAGCAGAATCTAAAAGGATTCTTAAGAAAATGGCTTTGATTTCAGACTACTTAAAAATGATAAAGTTGCTCAACATTTACATAGTTTCACAGACCGTTCAGCTTGCTGTGAGGACCTCAATAAATCTGGTGGGATTTTTCATCTATTGTTGTGTTGGGGGCTAATATGTAACAGGTTACCATTAGCAGATGTACTGACTGTTCCATTTACTGACAAGTTCATAATGCTGACTGATTGAAAATGGGAGTAAAAAAAAAATTTTTAAAAATTAAACACACACACACACTTCTCTCAGGCAATCATGACCACCAGATGACCAGCCCTTTAGAATAAGATACTAGTACCATGTGACGAAAGGGATGAATTTGAGCTAAAGGGTTAAAATGTAGATCTGGAGACGCAAGGCACAGACGTCTAGCAGCTTGCTTTGTGGTATGTGTTTATGTAGTGCTAATGGTCGCTGCATCTGCTGGAAAGTCACGTGCCCAAGCCACAACAGGTGCAGACATTCAGGAGTTAAATAATAATTAACCAGCTCGTTGTGTTTCCACTGCCTCTGACATGGAAAGGGTTAAAATGTTTTCTTATATAGACAAGAAAGAAAGAAAGAAAGAAAAGCGACACACAATACTTTTTTCCTGTCTCTGTTCTCAAACATCCTCTTATACACCAGTCACACTCGCGACTGGTTAACAATGTATTGCTGTCCCTGACACACGGCCACCTACAGGGGAGGGCACAAGCCACAGCCCGGCCACATGTCAACATTTTGGTCCATGTTTGCCAAGCTGTGCTAAATCTATGGATTTTACCCCCAAATACAGATAGGGCAAATCCAGCATTGCAGAATGTGTGGAGTGCAACACCCAGCATGCTTAAACAATGGTTGAAAAACATTTATAAAAAGGTTACAGATTTCAAGCAGCACAGAACGCAGTGATCTGATAAGGTTTATGGTTACATTGCAGTCTCCCATTTATAAAGTGTTATAGTTGCTACATTCGCAGGCAGAACTCTTTTTACTGGATCAGTTTGTCTAATTATATATTACAGCATCCACTCTTTGTTAATGTACAGAGCTGCAGAAAAAGTTGGTGATCAATGAAAATCAATCAATAAATAAAACTGTTTGCAAACCATTCTTTTTTGGTTACCTTGCAATATATCCCTGGATGTAAGCTCGAATCAGCAAAGCCGCTCTCTTTATATCCTGATCACGGCTTTTCTCCAGTTTCTGCTCCAATGCTTCTTTGAGGAACACCTGTGGGTGTAGAAAGATGGTGTATAGGAGCCATGTGGCAGGTAGATTAGGGGAGCCGGTAAGGTGGAATTCACTGCATGTCCCTTTATTACCCACAGGACATGCTGGAAGGAGTTTGGATAAGAGCTTGTCATGCACCAGTCTCTTGGCAGCTGGGACTGATTACAGGGAGGGGACTGAGACGGGATCTATTGGGAGGAGTTTTATAAAGACTGGAGGACAGTAGACAAAGTCACAAGCAGACAGTGTGCACCGAAATAAACACAGGACACATACAGAAAGCGCAAGATTCATGGCAGAGATGTCAGAAAAGGGGCACACACACAAAATGGTACATACTACATGAAGGGCACACACACAGGATGGTACATACTACATGAAGGGCACACACATAGATACAGAATGGCATATACTACATTAAGGGCACACACACTACGCACACACGCAGAATGGTAAATACTACATAAAGGGCACACACACCACGCAGAGTGGTGCATACTACATGCAGGGCACACACACAGGCAGAATGGTGCATTCTACATGCAGGGCACACACACAGGCAGAATGGTGCATACTACATGAAGGGCACACACATGCAGAATGGTACATATTACATGAAGGGCACACACACAGAATGGTACATACTACATTAAGGGCACACACACACGCACGCAGAATGGTTAATACTACATAAAGGGCACACACACAGAATGGTACATACTACATGAAGGGCACACACACAGAATGGTACATAATACATGCAGAGCACATACACATAATGGTACACACACTCAGAATACATGCAGAGCACACATATGCAGAATGTTACATATTACATGAAGGGCACACACATTACATACACACACCATAGTGTAATAGCCACCAGATAATACACTTCCATACACTTACAGGACGGGAGAGAAGCATATGGTTTTATATGGGATGATAGCGAAACAAAAGCGGTGTAAAAATGAATTTGTAGAAAGATATAACAGCATTGTAAAGGGGACAGCCATAACATGCAACAAAATAAAATAAGGTTACAGCGTGAGAGAGTACTTGACAAAGAAATGCTGATTTACAGACAGACAGTGTATGGGGTAAGGGAGGTTAGGGGTTAATTGCACAAGAAAAACATACAGGAAGGAAAGAAATATTAAATCCACCGCTGGGACTCCACATAACAAGCTTCATACCGGAGGCAGTTAATACAGAGAGATACAGGAGTAAAGGGACCGTAAAAACAAGACCGATGAGCAAACAGTTCAAGGACACAAACCATCATACACCCTTACTGGCTGGGAAGCGGCCCATGCTCCTGTACACCAACAGCCACGGCAGCTGTTTAATTTGGTATAGAAACATAACAAAGAATCCCCCGTCCTCCAGCTTCCTTCCAGAAGCTGTTCCTTCCGTTCACAAACAATCGACGGGAGTGAGAGCACATGAAGCTGAAAGTAGGCAAAGTGACCACCAAAGAACAGGTTCCAGTAACGCAGTGGGACAAGCCACCTCGAAACATGCATTATTACTGCACAGGCAATGCCAGCCATATTGGGGGCCTACAGCTAGGCTGGCATTAGAACACACCGTGGGTAGATTAGAACAGAGCTGACAGCAGTTAACAAATAAAGGTATGTGGGTGAGTGATACCTGGACACAGACAGGTGTTTTACCACCAGGAAAATAAGCAGCCGTAGTAAAACAACACTAGCTACAGTAAAACCAGCAAAACGGGTTGGCAAGTTTGCCACCAGTGCACCACCTTCATGGTAATCAGCAGCTTTAATGTTTTCCCTGAATGCAAGCACCAGGTGGGGTAGACCAAGTTGTCCCCGATGCAAGGCCCAGAGGCTGCAAGGATAAGATGTCTCTGCTGCATCAGTGGCAGAGACAGCTTCAGGACTCTACTGCAGTCGCACGTGATATACAGGATTAGGTTTGTATGAACTCTATAACTATGTACACGTGGAGGTGTGTGCAGGGGGACCGGATGTTATCACTACAGAAAAAACATGCAGAGACAGCCTACTCCCCCCACTGGACACTCTCATCCCAATTTACTCCACCGTACAAGCAGAACAGCAGTTATAGAGTAGGGGGATAATCATTTAATTGCTAGTGAGTATATGTATAAAGCCAACTAGATGGGTGTGAGTGGCTAGTTATGAGTGTACGCACAAGCAGTGTTCTTTAAATAGGTGTGTGAGTAGCTTGTTAGATAGGTGTGTGAGTGGCTAGTCAGATAGGTGTGTGAGTAGCTAGTCAGATAGGTGTGTGATTGGCTAGTAAGATAGGTGTGTGATTGGCTAGTTATGTGTGTACACACAAGCAGTGTTCTCATTATGTGTGTAAGTAGCTAGTTAGATATGTATGTGAGTGGCTAGATAGGTGTGTGAGTGGCTAGTAAGATAGGTGTGTGAGTGGCTAGTAATGCGTGTACGCACAAGCAGTGTTCCTTAAATAGGTGTGCGAGTGGCTAGTCAGATAGGTGTGCGAGTGGCTAGTTAGATAGGTGTGCGAGTGGCTAGATAGGTGTGCGAGTGGCTAGATAGGTGTGCAAGTGGCTAGTTTAGCATGTATGGCTACACAAGGTATGTGTGAGAGTGGCCAGTTTAGAATGTATGGCTATACAAGGTATGTGTGAGAGTGGCTAGTTTAGAATGTATGGCTATACAAGGTATGTGTGAGAGTGGCTAGTTTAGAATGTATGGCTATACAAGGTATGTGTGAGAGTGGCTAGTTTAGAATGTATGGCTATACAAGGTATGTGTGAGAAAGCATGGCTAGTTTGGAATGTTTGATAGTTTGTTTAAATTAGCTATGTGTGACCAATTATGTATTCTGTGTTTGAATAAATATGGCAAAGAATTGTGTGCACCCCTTCTTAATGAAACCGTTACTTAGGCTGAAGAGACATGCGTCCATCAAGTCCAGCCTCTCTTACATCGGTTTGTGCTGTTGATCCAAAACCAGGAATAAAACCCAGTTTGAAGCACTTCCAATTCTGCAACAAACTCGAAAAATAAAATCCTTCCCGACCCAGAACGGCAGTCAGATCTCTAATTGGATCAATAGGATTTAAATATTAGATCCCTGAATTTCATGCTTTTATTATGTTTTTTTTCTCCCGGACTTCCATGACTTGGTGAAATGTGTCAAGCCCATTGATTGAGTCATCATGAGGCTGTTCTACACGTGCTTGCTTAAATTTTTTTTTGTAGAGTAGGAAAAGTAAACGACTAACAGAAAGGTGTTAGTGCAGACAGAGTATAATGCAATTTAAGATCAATATTAAGCGTGATAACACATCTCAGTACTCACAGAGAGCCATTTGTCAGCCAAAGCTGCCAGACAGTAACAGATCTTACATAGATTCGATACAGAAAGCTGCCTCTGACCTTGAGGAGAACAAAGAGGCGCTCTCTCTCTCTCTGACTAGCCTTGGGCACTCCGCTTGTGACACCATCCAGCAGGCCCAGAACACAATGCGTCTGTGTATTCAGCCACGCTTGGCAGATCGCCACCAACTCCTTTCTCTATTATTCCCTGGCATGTGTCAGCCAAGTAAGGGCACGATCCTCACCTCCCGTCACACTCCACATCCATCTGATGTCACCCTGCCTGGCACTTACGTTCCATCTCTCACCTTATCGCCCACTTATCGAAACAGCAGAGGCACGAGCATTGAAGGGTAGCCAGATCCTGGGGTCTTTTCAGCCCAACAGGACTTTCTTATCAAAGATCCTTAATTCAGGCCATTTCTCCATTATACTAAAAATGTTTAAAAGGATCCTAGATGTTGCCAAAACCAAAATGTTTAACCCTTTGTGGGCTAGACAGAATGCAATCCAATAACTGGTTTCAGACGGGTCTGAGCCATCAATTTTTATTTGCTACTTAGTTGCAACATTGCATATGTATTATTATGGAGCTCAAAATAAAATTGTATTACTCTCCAGGTACAGAAACAATATAAATCAATAGATGGATATTTCAATCAGAATATTTAAAAAAAAAATTAAAAAAATTAGATAAGAAAAACACCTCAACACCTGCACAATACACAAATTTCACACGTTCCCATAGAAACTGAAACAAAGGACACCATATGCTCGATGGAACTAGAAAAGGCACAACATTTGTACAATCAAGAGACCTGGAATCTATAGAGGAGAGGTAGGTAATTGGCCGCAATGGGTTCTAAGAGCATGAAATCTAGAGGAAGAAGGTACATATTGTGCAGTACTAGGCACAGCGAGAGCAGGAATCTAGAATAAAGGAGGTACACTGTGTGCAATAGGCACAGAAACATTGATGGATCGAATGCTGTATTTTTAACATCTTGTTTCGGATAAAAGCTACTAGAGCAGACAGATAAATTTGAGACACAGTATTAGGATTTACCTTCGTTTTACCAAGCTGCCACTCCTTCGCGGCATCAAGAGACTGAAGGAAAGCAGCACATCTTCCGCGCATGTCACCTTCAGCACCAATATTCTTCAGTAACATCCTGTACCTGCAGGAAAAGCAACACATTTCAAATAAATAAAAAAATATAATAAATACATTTTAAAAATTAGGCCGGAGTTCAGATCAGCGCTTCAACTTTGTTTTTTTAAAGGGAGGTGGTACAAAATCTGAAGGGGTGGGGGTAAGGAGGGGTTGCAGGTATAGTAAAAGCAAGGCCAAAAGTATGAACAGGTAGTGGGGAGAATACGCATTTGCTCTGGAATTATAGCTCCTCGGGGGAGAAAGAATGAGTTACTATTTAAAAACAAAAATTGCAGCACCAAAAGTTTTAGAGCAGAACGAGAGTTAAAAACATTTTAAATAAATAAATAAATAAATAAAATAGTGATGCATGTTTAAGGAACCAGGAGTCCCATGTAGAATGGTAAGGTTACTGTAATACGTTTGTTAGGAAATCCTTCCCCCCTTAATGCATTTCCAAAAATAAAATCAGCTCCATTTCACTAAACTGCGAGCTATGGTAAATTGTACATCAAACTGCTAAATTAATGCTAAAATAAACAAACTGTGACTATAGCAGAGTTGTAGAAACATTCCCAAACCAGCTATTTTGGCCCAAATCCAGTTTTTAATTCACTGTTTAGTGAATAAAGCAGATTTATTTTTGGAAATTTGCAATGGGGGAAAATGAACTGGAAATTGAAGAATGCAGCCAGATCGCACGTAACAGCTGTTCGGAAAAAGAACGAAGATGAATAGTTTTATCTATCATGGACAACTATTAACCCTTTTAACGATCACTTGGTTTGCAAGACAAATAACTGCTAAAATAGAAATATTGTGCCAAATATTTAACATTTATTTTTAAATACAGTTAAATAACAACACAATAAAATTTCCTAGGTTTACCTAGTTATTGACAATGTTACAAATATTCAAAACAGAAGAAGTGCAGATGAAGTGGTAAAAAGGCAACAGCAAACGTGAGGCCAAAATAATAGAGTTATGACAAAACCTTATCTTTAATTCAGTTATTTTAATGTAACATATGCAATGCCCTTGAAAAAGACTTCAACGTGCTAAAACCCTCAACCCTCTGATAATATCCCCATAGCAGCACAGATTTAAGGCTTTTTTTTTTTCCACATTTTGATGCTTAATTGTTGAATCCATGGTTTCATATTTCAGCATTCGTTTTCCTTATCAATTTTAGTAAAAATAAAAAAGGGGACAAGAGCCCACTTTCCCCAGACTACAGACACCAATGGGCACAATTTATGTATGTGTATAGTGCAGAATATAGTGTGTATAGTGCAGAATATAGTGTGTATAGTGCAGATGTGACTTCACATCAGCCAGTGAATATTGTGATTCAGACAGGGACCTGGGAAAGCCGGCCTTAAGGGTGTGCAAGCTGTGCGGCCGCACAGGGCGCCATGGACCAGGGGGCGCCATGTGGCCAACACAGTTCGCACATGGCCGGTGTCAGGGGAGCTAAAACAAGTACACGGATGGAGGATTAATTATTCTCCACCCGATTCAAAAAAAAATAAAAAATCACGGCAGCCGTGAAGACTTTTCACACATGGCGCCTAATGGCCTAAGGCCTGCCCTGAACACATTCATTCATTCTACTGATGAAGCAGCTGCAGGTGACACAGGATCTCTGTATTTGCTGATTCACAAAGGTCACAGTGCACAATCACACATGATATCTGTACGTACAGAGACACTTTACCTGGTTATGAAATCCTGGTATTGTCTACGTACAGGAAAGCCAGCTCTCCTGATCTTAACCGTCTCCAGCATTCCAGAGTATCGCAGCTGGTTCAATACCACGTCAGGGTTAAATGTGTTTGGGAGCTGAGAAAGAAAAGGATGTTATATAGAGAAAGAAGAGATAATCCATTAACATTAATACAAGTTAACACAAAACAGAATTTTTTTTTTTTTTTTATTTACATCTGTCACTTTATCCTACAAATAAATAAGCTGAATCTAGACACAGCCTCATTACCCGGGCAGTTTAGGAGGTGTGAGCAACACAACCAGATACCATCTCCCCACACCTCCTATAACCCACACTACCTGAGCAGCACACTCACTGCAGCTCCCCACACCTCCTATAACCCACACTACCTGAGCAGCAGGCTCACTGTAGCTCCTCACACCTCCTATAACCCACACTACCTGAGCAGCAGGCTCACTGCAGCTCCCCACACCTCCTATAACCCACACTACCTGAGCAGCACGCTCACTGCAGCTCCCCACACCTCCTATCACACACACTACCTGAGCAGCACACTCATTGCAGCTCCCCACACCTCCTATAACACACACTACCTGAGCAACACACTCACTACAGCTCCCCACACCTCCTATAACACACACTACCTGAGCAGCACACTCACTGCAGCAGAGCACACGCTCACTGCAGCTCCCACACCTCCTATAACACACACTACCTGAGCAACACACTACCTGAGCAGCACACTGCAGCTCCCCACACCTCCTATAACACACACTACCTGAGCAGCACACTCACTGCAGCTCCCCACACCTCCTATAACCCACACTACCTGAGCAGCACGCTCACTGCAGCTCCCCACACCTCCTATAACCCACACTACCTGAGCAGCACACTCACTGCAGCTCCCCACACCTCCTATAACACACACTACCTGAGCAGCACACTCACTGCAGCTCCCCACACCTCCTATAACCCACACTACCTGAGCAGCACACTCACTGCAGCTCCCCACACCTCCTATAACCCACACTACCTGAGCAGCACACTCACTGCAGCTCCCCACACCTCCTATAACCCACACTACCTGAGCAGCACTCACTGCAGTTCCCCACACCTCCTATAACCCACACTACCTGAGCAGCACACTCACTGCAGCTCCCCACACCTCCTATAACCCACACTACCTGAACAGCACAACCAGATACCATCTCCCCACACCCTCTATAACCCAAACTACCTGAACAGCATGATCATTGCAGCTCCCCCCGCCTCCTATAACCCACACTACCTGAGCAGCACACTCACTGCAGCTCCCCACACCCTCTATAACCCACACTACCTGAGCAGCACCCTCACTGCAGCTCCCCCCCGCCTCCTATAACCCACACTACCTGAGCAGCACTCTCACTGCAGCTCCCCACACCTCCTATAACCCACACTACCTGAGGAGCATGCTCACTGCAGCTCCCCACACCCTCTATAACCCACACTACCTGAGCTGCATGCTCACTGCAGCTCCCCACACCCTCTATAACCCACACAAGCTGAGCAGCACCCTCACTGCAGCTCCCCACACCTCCTATAACCCACCAACTAAGCAGCATGCTCACTGAAACTCTCCCCACCTCCTGTAACCCACACTACCAGAGTAGCACACTTAATGCAGCTCCCTCAACTCCTATAGCCCACACCAACAATGTCTTATATTCTATCTTTTCATGACAATTCTGATAAGATCCCATGAAAGAATAGCGTAAAACAAATTTTCCAGAACTGGCGAGGTCAGTATTACCAGCCCCTACTCACCTTATCAGTGTTGGGCTTTATACAGCGGATGAAGAACGGGTTGGACGTGTTGAGCATGGCCATAAGTGAGTGAAGTGATTCCTAGGGATACACACATGAAATCAGCATTTGAGTCATATTTTCTGAGCAGTGGGCCATTAAGATTTGTTTGAGGAAATGTATAAAATGTACAGAACTAGAGAAATTGTAAAAACATATATTTATATTGAATGTTATAGTAATCTTCTCTTTAGATCTGTCATTGCATCTCCACACCCCACAATTCCTGGTGAAAGCAATCTCTACATATCTGTGCTGGTTAGGTGGGTACAATGTATCACAACACTATTACAGTGATAACTCTTGGCTATTGGGAAAGGTATTGGGTACCGAAAACCGTGGGATTTATTTCCTTATTGTAAAGCTGTGAGGAATATACCAAACTATCACAAATAAAAATTTATAATAGATTATGTTTTGAGGTTTGGTTTATTTTTTTATTTTTGCTTGGGTATTGACGTTAAAACTGTTGGAGGGTTCAAATGAAGCAATGGCAGGGGAAGAATGAACTGATTCAGCATGATAACAGCAGACCTTTGTATATAATCTATTGGTTGCATGCTCATTATTATAATATCGGGGGATACGCTAGCACCAGTCTTAATTGGCACGTATCCAACTGTTCTACAATGGGCTCAGTCGTGAGATTAAACATCTATACAGCTTGTTCTGTGCGATCACTGCTACAGATAACATGGTATCGAGAGGTTTGTTGACAGTTTGCCGAGTGATGCTGCTCACATAAAGGTACATGTTGGTACATACGGTCTTATTTTGACAACCTACCCTAAACTGAGAGCTGACGGTTGGCTTCTTTCTCTGGGTTCCCATTTTGAGAGTCTCCTCGCTACTTCTACTGCAGACTTTTTCAAACAGATCATAGATGAAATCCAATCTAGCACACAGAGAAACAGGAGGAGATTAACAAAATCCTTGATACAGTATCCGATCTTATGGAACCATTATCACGCACGGCACATGTGTAAATTGACTGGAACCACTTCAATTTGGTTTGACTGAAAGGTGACCTCCCCCCCACCACACTTTATCTAGTGTTCTCCTACAGCTGGGGGGTTTATTCTGGCTAGTCCTGGCTTAATGGGACTATTAATTTGTGTAATATGTCCAAGCATTACCTGCAACTTGGTCCGGAACATTTTAATCAGCTAATATTCTTCTCTATGTATTTTAACAGCTGGACAGAGAAAAATACATTAAAACAAAACAAATAAAAAAAAATAATCCTGGTTTTCTTTGTGGACAAAAACTAACCTCCTAGAGTAGCTGTATTTAAAAAAATAATACTTCAGTATTGTTGCGTTTTACGCAGTATTACTCACAATCTGTCCTGGAATATTTAGCTTTTCGAAAGAGTATATACTAAACAGTATACACCTTGTAAAATGGTTATTTCAATAGAACGTACAAATAGCTGGAAAAAAAAAATCTTTAAAATTCAGAACAATCAAATAGGTGAATGGAAACATCCTGAACGCGGTTACACCAAAAATGAATGAATGAAACCACGTTTCACAATGGATTCACAATGATTCAGAACATTGTGGTGAATTAAAACCCATGCTGCAGAACACAGCCCAAAATAATAAATCAAAGAGCATTTCACAGCAATCATTTTATATAAGATTATTCAATTCACTGATATATGAATAGAAATCTGCTCTTTGAATAATGTAGGCAGAATACTCCAAAAGCATTTAAGAATAATCTGAAATAATGTCACTTATAGACATGCTCAACCTGTCAAGCTGATAAATTATACTTCAAGCGATCAAACAGCCTGTGGAAAAACAAACTTAGATGCAATTAAATTTGCTCTTGAGCAGGGTTTCAAGTTCAAACACCAAACCTTGGACTCCAGTCATATCCAATTCTCTGGACTTAAGTGTTTGGGTGGGAGGCTTGGAGAAAGGAGTGAGATGAGAGTGTGAGTGTGAGTTGGATTTCACCATCACTCTAGTCACGTCCAGCGTTAATGCAGTGAATTCATGCTGTATATATCCAATGGATTCTACCAGGAAGGACGCTTTTACGTTTCTCTGGTTTTCAGTTATGTCCCCCAAGGTAAGAGATTACCCCTTTCCCACCCAGGGTACTTCTTACCAATCATTTCATTTTTGACTCACCTGCTGTCTCTTAACAGGTTTAATATGTCATCTCTGAACGTGTCCCTATTCTTCTCCAGAAATCCTTGCACATCATACATGACCTGAATTGAGAACAGAGGCTCACAGTGAGCATGTTAGTGTGTAGTTACACAAACTTCCATTTAAACACCAGTATTCTACAACACTAAACAGGAGGCATTTTACAAATTAACATTACCTGCCGGGATAGTGATTGACATAAAATGTCTCTAATATGTGTGTACCATTGTGTATGCAAGATTGACAGACTTCCTCGAGTCCAACTCTATGCTAGACCCGCTTCAGTCTGGTTTCCGCGCTAAGCACTCTGTGGAAATGGCACTGACCAAAGTATCCAATGATCTACTCGCTGCAAAATCTCGTGGTCACTACTCTATCCTAATTCTCCTTGACCTGTCTGCGGCTTTTGACACTGTTGATCATCAACAGCTTCTTCTCATCCTCCGTAATATCGGTCTACAAGATATTGCTCTCTCCTGGTGCTCCTCCTACCTCTCCCAGCACTCTTTCAGTGTTTCTTTCTCTGGCTCTGCTTCTTCTCCCCAACTCCTTTCTGTTGGTGTCCCCCAAGGTTCAGTCCTTGGTCCCCTACTGTTCTCCATCTATACTGCCTCCCTTGGTAAACTCATTAGCTCCTTTGGCTTCCAATATCATTTCTATGCAGATGACAAGCAAATCTACCTGTCCTCTCCTGATCTCTCCCCGTCCCTCTTGACTAGTGTCTCTGACTGCCTCTCTGCAGTTTCTAACTGGATGGCTGCCCACTTCCTTAAACTAAATTTGACCAAAACTGAAATTCTGGTCTTTCCTCCCTCAAGTGTTGTTACTCCGTGTCTGTCTCCCTCCAACCTCTCCTTCAAGCCTCATGTTCAATCTATCGCCAAATCCTGTCATTTCCATCTCAAAAACATTGCGCGCAACCGCCCCTACTTAACGCCAGATGCGACTAAGGTGTTGGTCCATTCCACTGTCCTTTCTCGCCTTGACTACTGTGATCCGCTTCTCAGTGGTCTTACGTGCTCCCAACTAGCGCCGTTACAGTCCATAATGAATGCGGCGGCGAGGCTCATCTTCCTGTCCGCCCGCACCTCCCATGCCTCACCCTTCTGTCAGTCCCTACATTGGCTTCCTATAAAATATAGAGCTCAATTTAAAATTCTGGTTCTTGCTTTCAAATCTCTACATAATGCTGTTCCCACCTATCTATCCTCCCTTATACACAAGTATGTCCCGTCTAGGCCCTTACGATCTGCTGAAGACTTACGTCTATCTTCTGTCCGTACTCCCACCTCTGATGCTCGCCTTCAAGATTTCTCGAGGGCTGCACCGTTCCTGTGGAACTCGCTTCCCTCCTCCTTTAGATGCTCACCCAGTCTCCACTCCTTCAAAAAATCGTTAAAAACCCACTTCTTCATAAAAGCGTATCACTTAAACTGTTAATAGCTCCTGACTGATTCCTCTTCTGCAACTGTCACTAGTCTAATACTATCCTTACCTTTTGTGTCATTTTACCCCACTCCCTCTAGCGTGTAAGCTCATTGAGCAGGGCCCTCAACCCCTCTGTTCCTGTGTGTCCAACTTGTCTGGTTACCACTACATGTCTGTTCGTCCACCCATTGTAAAGCGCTGCGGAATTTGACGGCGCTCTATAAATAATAACATAATAATAATAATAATAATACCAACTGCACACCAATCCATTCCTCTGTTAATATTACAGATATTTGGATAATGGATTCTATTTGAATGCTAGGAGGGAAGTTGGAGGTGGACAATCTGCCTTGCAGTAACTCACCTCCCCGGCATAGTGCTTGATTCCAAACTGGTTCTCAGTAACACGTGGTTTCACGAAATGCGGATTATTCTGGGAAATACATGGGGGAAAGGGGTACACAAACAAATTAGAACAAAAAACAGACACACAAAAAGCAAGGGTGGAACAGCTGTACAATGACTGATCACAAGGAGGATGCACACCTGAACAGGAAGGTAACCCTCAAAACCTTCAAGGATAAATTGAACAAACAGAACAAAGGATACAGGTAGCGCCAAAATACATAAAATATTGTGGTTAATAATAAAAATAAAGTACCAATACTGCACAATTGGTCTCCTGTTTTATCTTTTGCATATGCCATTGATGTGCGATACCACTCCGGAGACATCTTATTCAACATTTGAAGATTTTTATAACCTCAAAAGGACATTTTTATCTTTTACTTGGTACCTTTTTTATTATTTACCACAATATTGTATTTATTTTGGTGCTACCCGTATCCTTTTTTCTGTTTACACAAAAGATCTGTGCATTTAATTCTGGAATGATACCATAGGAGATACATATGTTAGACTGACATTCTGTTTACAGAATTAATGTTTGAGCAGGCATGGTTTATCCAAATTCAAGGAGTGCGTCAGTCTGTGACATGGGCAACAATTTCTCAATCACCACTTAAGCGTTGATCAGCTCCATGGAACCCAATGATGGACATTGATCAGAATTGAAAAACGAGAAGCAGAAATTCTGAAGGAGAGATGCCCAACCTTCAACAACGTAACATTTTGGGAAATTACATTCAGAGACTCAGGGTGCCAAGGCTAACGCATCATTGTTCTAGGTCAGGGATAGGCAATCTTTAACAACATACTGAAAAAACTATCCATAAGCTATAACTGTGGGTTCTGGATTTCTGTAGATGAAACACAACCATTAAAGGGCGCACATATTAAAAATGTTAAAATATTAACGATGATCCTTACAGCATGCTGAACGTTGAGTTTTTCAAGCAGTGTGAAGTCTGTGCCTTTTGGGAAACGACTTTCTTCATTGATCAGAGCAAGCAGCCCAAGTTTCTACATAGAAAGAAAGAGAGAAGAGTTAACGAGAACCTAATATAGAGATTAATCCCCCTTCCCTTAACGAACCATGACCCACATCCTCCTACAACTAACGGATTCTCCTCTCAAAGAACCATCACCCACATCATCATAAACACCACTGGATTCCAGCAAACCTCATACATCAGCAAATTACTTAGCGGATTGATCACTCTGCCTGTGTTTCGGCATTATTCCAATACAGAGAAAGTTCAATAATGCAATACTGAACGTAAATAACTCACACTAACCAGCAAACTTCAATTTGTTCTAATGACCCATTCAGCACTTTCCCGCAAATAGAAAAGACCTCACCTTCTCGACGAGATCCAAGCATTCAGCATTGTCCATCCAGTCAATAGCTTCCCAGTTTATGCCCTCCCTGAATTCCAAAGACAAAATTAAAGTTATAGAGGCAACATTCAGACAATGAAAGTGGTCAATGGCAAAATAGGAGAAATGCTTTATTTTCACTCGGTATCTGCTGCTAATAAAAACATAAATCATGAGAAATAACCATTTCCAAATATTTTCAGATATAACACAGGTGATCTTAATTAAATCCATTAAATTACAATTTCTTCTCTTTCAACAGCAGGGGGCACCATTCTGCTTTTTCTGTACTTATCACTTGCCGCAGTGTTTTATAGCAGGATCCTATGCCGAAAGTGAGGTTTGAAGCCTCCCCCTCCCCGAGTTACATAATGTGATGTTGTGTGAGAACGTTAGGCAGTAATGTTTAATTTTAACAGGTTACATAATCCTCTTTAAGAGCACAAAGCCTGGGGGCTATACGTGGCAGACTTTTTTGTGGCCCACCTTCCCGAGTCCCTCTAAAGCTGAATGTACAACAATACTTATTTAGTAGATTCCAGTCTCATTCACGCGGTTACCTCAAGATAATTTGTTCCTTCCCGTTAATAAGATATACAAATTTCATACAGATTACATTTGGGCTATCCGCCTCTCAGTATGGTTTCAGTTGCAATTTTGCGCTTGACATGAATGTGTTCCCATAAATATTTTCACTAATTGAAATACACCTTCCTCCTAACTCCTACCTGTTATATTCCAGCTGCTCCAAAGAGAAAATATGCTTGTTGAAATATTCCTGTAGTTTCTCATTGGCGTAGTTAATGTTAAATTGCTCAAATCGATTCACCTGGGAAAAACAAAATACATTGAGAAAATTACCAGTGAGACAGTGCTAACACTTTCCACAATGCTTTACAATATTACAATGGGTTATAAGCAGCAAATTACAAAAAAGATGGAGGGAACTGCGTAAAACGACATTTCCTACAATCCCTGCAACTGGCGGTCAATTGCGCAATTTCATAGGTTGTTCCAGATTTGCCTATTAATTTCCTCAAAAATTCTGTGTTTATACGTTTACAGAGTTAACAGATAATTACAACTAGGACGAGTCAACAATTGGAACATATTCAGGCAGACAAAGAGTTAGCAAATATGTGCAGGTAATAGGGATTGGGATTTCATTTTTAGATTTTACTAAATTGTATTAGTAAAGAATTTTACTAAACGGAATTCTTTAAAATGTCCCTTACTCCTAGTCTTTGTCTTTTTGTAATAAACTCTGTCCTCACTTTAGTTTCAAAATGAAACAAATGCTAAAAAATCTATTTTAGGGCAAGCAGGTTTTGGCATCAAGAGAACTGTAGTCCACAAATGGGGCAAATGCAAGCCGAATGTGGACCATCACTGCTTTAGGACGGCAAAGGGTCTCATTTAAGGAGACTGTCATGACGAACGCATTCTACGCTACACAAAAGAGTAGAGAGTTTAATAAAGTGTTCCACCTTTTGCCCTAGAAAGAAAATATCTATAAGGAAAATTAAATACAAAATAAACACGTTTTAACAAGCCTCACCCCAACCCTCCTATGCGGTCTCTCTCACTGGATGGGGATGGATGTCAGGGGCAGAAGAATGTGGGGAGAACATGGTCGGCACAGAGGGGGGTGGGGTGCAATCATTGGCTCTTGTTCTACTGCCTGGATAATGACACTCCAGCCAAAAGTTACACCTCTGGCAGTTGAGAGGTTAAACACTATGTGCAGCGGCTGCACATTCAGATTCCAGGCACCATGACCATTTGAGAAAGTACATGGTGCTTGGTGCAACCCATTAGTAAATAGATTTAAAAATATCTACCTGACTGAGTTCTAATTTTTCTGCTTATTGAAGTAAAGAAACCCAAAAGGTATGTCTGTAAGATTTCACTAGGAAATAAAAGTAGATACGTTCCCTGCAGGTTTCAGGACTGTGCAGCATTTCTTTAGGAACTCAGAGACGTTCCCTGATTTTAGCATCCAAGCCCAGGCTGAAACAAACTTACTGGGCTAATCACTAAGCGATGAACTATCAGAAATTCAAAGTAAATTTTACATTTTTCCAGTTTGGCTATTTTGAAATAATTGAAAATGTGAAATTTACTTTGAATCCCCAACAGTTCACACGTACACTAATCTGGTTATAAAAAAGTTCAATCAGTACAGAAAAAGCAAAATATTTGAAGAAAGAGTATCAACAAATAGTTAATCTAAAATAAAGTCCACAGCCTTTTGGGAATCACTTCGGGCTGACGTCTAAAAACGCGGACGTACAGTTTCACTATATTTTTCTGATTACTTTGTGGCACACAAAATACCTGGAAATTCTCAAAGCCAAATATATCCAGAATCCCCACAGATTTGAAGTTGTCCTTCCCGCGGATCCGAGCATTGATCTTTGCCAATAGCCAAGAGAAACACTGGGCGTATAAAGCCATAGACAGGGAATCTCTGGAGTCTGTCGCCTGTGGAGGGAGAGAATAATTAGAGATTATGTGATCACAGACTGTTACACACTGAGAGAAAGTGGGGCACTAAGTGCAGTATATGAGAGCGGGGCCACATTTAGCAGACATGAGTGAGACTGGATGAGCCTCATCGAAGACACTGGAGTCCCAAATTGGTCCAGAAATATTAGGGGTTTCAGATCATTCCTGATACATTTTATCTGGCAAACTATATTAAAAGAGTCTAGAATCGCTCACTTCAAATAACAAACAAGAGGTTTTAACCCTCACCTGCTCCACCGTCAGAGGGGAGCTTATCTCTTCTCCTCGTAGGATCATTGATCTTTGGGTTAGAACTTCAGACAGCTGGAAGGAGTCCAGTCCCAATAAGTCAGCAGCATCACTAAGAACTGACGGAAAGAGAGAAGAGCAACTAAAAAGACAGTGGAAAAGACGATATACCACTCATTTTACTCCCTGATTCCAAACTTCTAAGATTGACGTGAGCCATGTGTCTTCTGGCTGGTTTAACCCTTACTGTGGCACAGGGGAAGCATTGAGATCTTTGCAACCAGATTTTCCGGTTATCACTGTGCAGCATAAGAAGGAAGTTTGGCTACGGATAAACTTGTAAGCCATTTAAACTTTGCAAGCAATCAGAGAGAGACTGCCGTATGCATGACATGTCTGGTCTAAGAATGGTCCAGTGTAGTACCCCAAGACCGACAGTAGGTGGCTCACTTGTTGCACAGCTAGAAAACAATGGAAAATACAGAACAGCTGGGCTAATTTATATATTAAAATGCTGTGGTAAAGCATTGTTTTGGCATCAAAAGAGTTAAAATGTTAATGTTCACAAGCCCTATTCCACCGCATGAACCAATTGTGCAATGGATGTACCTGCTTTAGTTGTGATCTGGGCTCCACCTGCTGTCATGAATTCTAAGTTTCCCAGCTGTAGGATTCCTGACAGAAGTTTCCATACTTCCCCGATCTCCTCATCGCCGAAATCCATCACCTGCAGGGCTGTCTGTGGGCACAGGGCAGGAAGGCTCGTCAGAACAATTCTATCCGGCCCACAGGGCACAAGACAAGGTGCACAAACCTCAACCATACAATGGACTTACCATAACTTTCTGATACATGTCCTTGTCATTCAGTCCTTCGGCGGTCGCACAGCCCGACGTGCTGAGATATTGGTAGGACAACGCATCAGAGAGACAGAGAGCTTCTGTAAAATAAAACCCCACGGAGTGCACTTATTAAAACGTACAGTTCGTCTTCTACCAGCTGCCTTGAGCACTTCATATTCTTTTTATCATTCACATTATGCAGCAGAGTCTGTGAATGCTGAATATAAAATAACTCACTGGAAAAAATAAAACAAGGCAAGGCTGAAAACCCTGTCCATTATCCAGGATTACCAGGGAGCGGACCTAGACTCAAAGAGTACGAAACATGTAGAGTACTATGGGAGTTGTAGTTTGACAATGGATTTGGTGTCATAGAACATAGAAACATAGAATGTGACGGCAGATAAGAACCATTCGCCCATCTAGCCTGCCCAATTTTCTAAATACTTTCATTAGTCCCTGGCCTTATCTTATAGTTAGGATAGCCTTATGCCTATCCCACGCATGCTTAAACTCCTTTACTGTGTTAACCTCTACCACTTCAGCTGGAAGGCTATTCCATGCATCCACTACCCTCTCAGTAAAGTAATACTGAGAGGGTCACTTTTGATCAATCAGAAATTTCTATTTTCTCAAATGAAGATGTATCTAATACCACTGCATTAACAAATTTGGGAAACCAGATTATTTTGACAGAGCAGCTTAATGAACAAGATATATTACCTCTGTCTTCCTTACTGGTGCCTGCAAGCAGGGCGTAGAAGATGTGATAGTTCCTCTCGCCAGGACTCTGACGTGTGACTCGGGTCTAGGAGACAGAAGGAGACATTGGGTACAAAATAATGATAATAGAGGTTAATGGCAGCCATGGGGACGCATAATTAACATTAGTGCGAAGAAATAGGCCTGGAGGGAAAGGGGAGCTCAGGGTTATCACAAGCTCCTACAGCCCAGGCCAGGGGGAAGAACTCAAAAAGGCTACAAAAAAAAGAGATATTAGAGAAAAAGAAATGGCTGGTGGGAGATATGGGTACATAACAGGCTAGCAGGGGGAAAATAAACAAATACATTTTTAAAAAATTACAAAAAAAAATTTAATTTAAAAAGTTGTCAGGGAGAGCTGGGGTAGCTAACAAGAATGAGGGATATGAGGGGATGGCTGTTCCTGCATCAAGACCTCTACCGGCTTTTGCCCTAACTGATACAAATGTGTGTGAATTCTGCCAGCAGTGTAAGAGTTAACCAGTTCACATTACTGAATAGCTGATGGCGCTGACACAGTTAATGGCACGATACATAGAGCTGATGACAGTACGGACTCCGAACAGATAACTGGACGCAGACTCACCTTCTCCAACAAATCTGAGAATTACTGCATTAAAGGAAATAATACAGTTTATAGGTCTCCCTCCCAGTCTATAAACCCGCTGCCCTCAGTGGAATAGAGGAGTGTTTTGCAAACGCTGTTCTCACCCATGAATCAATAATAACCGATTATTGTTCTAGTAAGAGTAATATCAACCTTCCTTCCAACAAGGACCACCACCCACAGCACATATATCCTACCAATCTCTAAAGAAATGAATTTAAGCAGGTACTCAGTTACCCATATGCCTTCTCGCTTTGTTTATTTTTTGTACCCATGAGCCCTTTCACCACCAATGTATTGCCCCCTCCCCCGATGTATGATATAATCAGTGTACCCATGTGTGCCCTCATGGTGTATCAGGGTACCCATGTGCCCTGTATCAGGGTACCCATGTGCCCTCCTCCCATGGTGTATCAGGGTACCCATGTGCCCTCACCCCATGGTGTATCAGGTACCCATGTGCCCCCTCTCCTATGGTGTATCAGGGTACCCATGTGCCCTCGCCCCATGGTGTATCAGAGTACCCATGTGCCCTCTCCCATGGTGTATCAGGGTATCCATGTGCCCTCTCCCATGGTGTATCAGGGTATCCATGTGCCCTCTCCCATGGTGTATCAGGGTATCCATGTGCCCTCTCCCATCAGGGTCCATATGGTGTATCAGGGTACCCATGTACCCTCGCCCCATGGTGTATCAGGGTATCCATGTGCCCCCTCTCCCATGGTGTATCAGGGTATCCATGTGCCCCCTCTCCCATGGTGTATCAGGGTATCCATGTGCCCTCTCCCATGGTGTATCAGGGTATCCATGTGCCCTCTCCCATGGTGTATCAGGGTATCCATGTGCCCTCTCCCATGGTGTATCAGGGTATCCATGTGCCCTCTCCCATGGTGTATCTATGTAGAACCATAATAAGGATTAATTTCTAAGTATCTCAAGAACAATTGTTAAAAAAAAAAAAACAAAAAAAAAAAACATCAATTAAATTTCCCTGATTACACAATTAGCAATGTTCCTGTAATAGAGTGGGAGTGTGATGTATTACTCATGTCTGCCAGCTCATTGTCTGTGCCAGAGATGTATTTGTGTCTGAAATATCAGACATAATAAATCAAACTGAGATCGGATGGTGGGGGGAGGAAGTGAATCAAATCCTTTTCTTTATTATTTGTTAATAATAAAATCCTTACACCACTATTGCTGCTTTGATAAATAAAAAAACAACATTAGAGCTGCACTTTGGTGAGGTCACATACAGGAAAAAAGTGGGAACAAAGTTGTAGAGACAGAATGGCCATCCAGCAAAGGTGGAAGAGACTAAAATTATTTCGAAGTGCAGTAGAATGTATTTTAAAATAGAAAATGGGACAAAACTACTGAGTAACATGCAAACATCTGGGTTTCCATATTAGTAGAACTATCAAATTTCAAATTAAAAAAAATAAATAAAAAAAGTAAAAAAAAGTTGTGTTCATTCACAAAAATATGATGACAACCTACAATCCTGATTTGTTAAACAAAGGAAGTCATCTCCAAATCTTTCTAAATTCAACTACTTTTCCACAATATATGGTTTCCTTAAATTAGAATCTGTGATGTCAATCCCTGGTGTCAGAAGAATATTTATCCTGTTTAACCCCATCCCTCAGTAGACAGAATTGGAGAATAAGCTAATTCATAGCGGTCAAGCAAGGATTTTATTATTTTTTTAGTTTCCATAATTAGAAGATTAAAGTTAAAGAGCTCCTTACATAGCCTTTTGTTTAACCCCTTAAGGACACGACATGTGTGACATGTCATGATTCCCTTTTATTCCAGAAGTTTGGTCCTTAAGGGGTTAAAGAGGATATTCATAAATATTTATACAGGGTAATGTTTGAATAATCTCTCCCTCCCTCCCCCCCTACAAGTCTGGTCATAATAAATCCTTCAAGAAAGGGGTCGGTGATCTTGGAACAAACATTTTCGTGTTTTTTTGCAACAAAATAGCAAAGTGTGGTGATCTAGCAATGTGCACCGACTGAGCAATTAACCGGCTCAGGTGTAAGTTTGGGCACAGAGTTTGGTGTTTGAGTTCAAAAAGGCCAAAAGTTGAGTTCACAACAGCCACCTCGCTTTCAGAGGTAGGCCGTATTCTTTCTATTGGTGGACTTACTGAAGGAGGGAGAGGTGAGGACTTTAGATTAAATAATTGGACAACACTGCTCCATTTTGACTTGACCTATATAGTCAGATATTGGGCAAAGTTCTTCATCCTGAACTACAAGTCCCAGATTCCTCTGCCAGATAGAGGGCTCAATTTATAATGAAACTGTAAAAGCTGAAGGTAAAGTGTCATTTTATGGAATTTGCTCCCTTTACATCACTGGACATCATTTAGGCCATGAAGGATACAATCCACCACTCTGCCACCTTGAATGTGACCCTGCTGGGAAAAGTGAAGTTGGATGAATTTTCCGAAGCGACTGGAATTATTATTATATACCGTCTTGGCGTTTCCAAACGCTTCCAGGATTGGGCTGTGAACAGAGAGAGAACCCATCAACAAAATACTGAAAGACAGAGGAAATGGTCATATTTGAACATGAAGCCAGGTCTTTTGTTATTGTAGATCATGGATGGTTAGATTTTGGCACATCAGGTTTTTATGGACCTAATTTCCTGTGAATCATTCATCGGTCAAGTCATTCATTGAGAATCATGGGAAATGTCCATAGCAGCCATCACCAACATCTATAGTCTACATTTAATAACCTAGGTGTGACAGGACAGCCCTTACCTGCTCTCCAGGATAGCCTCCTCCACATGCGTCTGGGTCCCAGCTCCCTCTGCAGAACTTTGGCTCATGGACGAAAGGAATTTAAGCAGCAGTTTTGTGCTCTCCGTTTTTCCTGCTCCACTCTCGCCACTAAAACAAGATTTAAAAAAGAAAGAAAGAAATTAGATCTACCTAGGATCTAGCATGTCAACCAGGGAAAGGTTAGCTTAAAGGCAGTGTGGGGTTTAATCACTAAAGGAGTAATGGGATGAGAAGGGAGTTCGCACATTCACATCACACTGTAAAACGAAGGTAGGTGTTAAGAAATGTTATAAGTCAGTCTCCAGGGACACGTATCGAGCTCCAGTGCTGTGTATGTGAAGAGCTCCATCACATCAGCAACAAGTTTTCAGCTGGCCATAGGTGTTAGCGTGGCTTGCGCTGAATACTTCCCATTTTTAATGCTTTATAGAGGCAATATTTTACCACCATACAGATCTACAGCCAATATCAAATATTCCTTGTGAGCTGCACCCCCATAATCATCAGCTGTTACAATCCGTAACCTCTTACTAAGAAAGAGAAGAGTTGAAGGGTCACAGTTGCCCCTCATTGCCCAGGTATTCCCCACCGTACCTGATAAGAACACACTGACTGTCGTGCCTTTTCCATAGACAGCGGTAACACTCGTTGGCGATGGCGTATATATGGGGTGGCAGCTCCCCCAAATGGTGCCGACTGTATAGCTCTACAGCATCCTCATCATATAGACCAGCAATAGGCTTATAGGGGTTAAGAGATGCCAATATGGAACCAATGTTAGTCTGCAAAAAGTAAAACCGTTATAATTAACATGTGGGAGAGGTAATTTAGTACGAGGTAGTAAAATGCTCCTTGATCCTGTGTGTTGCTGGACTCCATATTTTTCCCAGAATTATTGTAGCTGAAATTTAATCTAGTTTAGGGATGGGGCTACATCCAGGTCCCATGATTTAAAATGTATCTCTCCTAATAAATGTGCAGCTCATTGAAATACCAAGTTCCACATCTGTTCTGGGACTGAAAATCCCAGCAAGCGGAGTAGCACAGTACTAGATCACTTTGAAAACTGCTTGCTGTGAGTTGCTAGAGTTAAAAATACATTACAGGCAGCACTAAGGAACAGTGGTCACTTCTTGCCCTTCTTTGCCCTTCTCCCAGGCCCCAAATACTCAGAAGAACACAGAACCCGAAAGGACATGGAGTTTACATTTAAATATTGGATATTCACTGTTGCCCTGGAATGGCTGTGTACATTACCCCAGACTTAAAGTAAGATGTATTTATTTTTTACCATAAAAGCAGCTGAATATTGCTATTTACTATGCCCAGGTCTCTGAGATAAAAGGAGAGAGATGGCAGGTGTGACTAATTTATTAGAATGTTGGGTAGCTGTGGTTATTATTTTAAGCCATTAAACAGATGCATAGAATTCTTATTTTGATAACAATGCAAGTCCTTTACCTTAGCATTGGATCCCTCCCCAGAGCCGTGCATGCGCATTACTCACATAGATTTGATCTTTCAGGTATCGCATGTGCAGGTTCAGCATTATGGAGGCTTCGTGCAGGTCCGAGAGCAGAGCCATGTCTTCCACCCCATCCCGGCTGCTTTCATGCATGGGGAGAACATTCTCCCGGGACAAGGACGACCTGGAGTGAGAGAATTCCTGAAGACAAAAAGATTTGGTCAGTGTTCATCCAATGGATATTTCCTAAAGTAGTACCAAGACAGTCTATAGTAAAAGGTTAAAATGTAAAACCCAACAATTGTTACATGGAAATATGCAAATACCTGCAGCTCAATGCAGCATTAAAGCATGGTTAAAAGGGACACTATAGTCACTTGAACAACTTTAGCTTAATGAAGCAGTTTTGGTGTATAGAACATGCCCCTGCAGCCTCACTGCTCAATCCTCTGCCATTTAGGAGTTAAATCCCTTTGTTTATGAACCCTAGTCACACCTCCCTGCATGTGACTTGCACAGCCTTCCATAAACACTTCCTGTAAAGAGAGCCCTAGTTAGGCTTTCTTTATTGCAAGTTCTGTTTAATTAAGATTTTCTTATCCCCTGCTATTTTAATAGTTTGCTAGACCCTGCAAGAGCCTCCTGTATGTGATTAAAGTTCAATTTAGAAATTGAGATACAATTATTTAAGGTAAATTACATCTGTTTGAAAGTGAAACCAGTTTTTTTTTCATGCAGGCTCTGTCAATCATAGCCAGGGGAGGTGTGGCTGGGCTGCATAAACAGAAACAAAGTGATTTAACTCCTAAATGACAGTGAATTGAGCAGTGAAATTGCAGGGGAATGATCTATACACTAAAACTGCTTTATTTAGCTAAAGTGATTTAGGTGACTATAGTGTTCCTTTAATGGAGAGCTCAGTCTGCATGATGCACTAGTGACCCCTTCTGGTCAATGAGCACACTACAGGTCTTTACACCATTGATTACAGTATCCGCATCAATATCATAAGCAGCCAGCAGTGTGCGATAAGCTCGGCTGAGAACACACCAAGCTTAGTCGCCTGTTTGGGACGAGCAGGGCTAACAAAACTACAGTGCATAAAGCTGGCAAAATAATTAGGATTGTGTATCCCATAATTGACTCTTCCATGTATCCATTAGCTTATTATGTACAGGCCACAGGGGTATAAATGGAGTTCCTATTAGAATATGGCAGATTATATTCTGTCCAGTGGTAAAATAGCAACTGAAGGAATAGGCTAAAACTCATTTTTATTTTTCCCTCTGGATAAGCGGTTTGCTGCATCGAAAATGATTTATCATTTGGCTATGGTCAATATGGAACTCCCCAGTCACTCACTAAAATTTTTTTTTAAAAACTCAAAATTATTGCCACAGTACGTGCGCGTGTGTCTGTGTGAAAGCATGTAGGCACACAGCTAGTTAATAGGTATATGCAGTGGGCAGTGTGATGTGTGCAATAGGAGAAGGCATGTGTGAATTCAGTATATTTTTAGTTTAACCCCTTAGGGATCAAACTTCTGGAATAAAATGGAATCATGACATGTCACACATGGCATGTGTCCTTAAGGGGTTAAACTTTAATTGTGAATTAGTAGAGTACATCAAACATTGATACATTATCCGTCTAATATAACGTAGCATGCAAGATAATGGCTTCCATAATTAGCACAGCATTTTCTATTTTAAAAGTATAACAAAACTGAAGTAAGTATGCTCTCTTTCATTTGTTATACGTGAAAGTCACAGTAGATTTAATATTCAGCTTTATCCCATCAAAGTTAAAATAGTACCAGGGGGTGGCACTGAATGGTAGCACACTAAGATTATTAATTTGTTATGCTATAGGGGGTTGACCCGCTCAGTGGTGTAGGGGGGAGGCGGTCCGGCCCTGGTGCCATTCATTAGGGGAGGTACCATTCAGTGGCCAACTGAGTGGCCCGGGTGTGCAATCTACGCATAAGAGACACACAGAGAGGAAGGGGAAAAAAAAATGCACCCAGAGGGGCAGGAGATAAAACAAACACATAGGTGCGAATGGAAAACGAGACACACAAATTGGCTGGTGGAAGAAAAAGGTCAGCACAGCCAGTCTGCCAGCCATCATTGCCATCCACGGCAGCCAGTAAGTCTGCCAGCTAGCCAGAGCAGCCAGCCTCAGATCCGCCCCGGGTGCCAAATGTTCTAGGTACGGCCTGACCAGCTTTCACTCTTGTAAGGGACCAATATGTGATTTCAAAAGAGCTTTAATTTTGGATTAGATTGCTCTGTCTAAACAGTTAGCGTCAGGATGTCAGGTGAGAAAAAAATATATATATATATTTTATTTTTTGGCGGAGTGCTTTTTATTTAGTGAGGTTTCAATCCAATCTATTTTAAAATCATAGGTAGGAAACTTTGGTGTAGAGCAGTAACAACGGTGGGAGGGGAGGAAGTAATATATTTTAAAGCAGTTTATACAATAAATGTAACTGCAACAAACAAAATTATACAAATTAAGAAAATGGCTTTTTATTATTATGGAAATACAGAAACAGTAATGTCTCTGGCAGTGTTAATCCTGCTACAATGAGCTCACGATTTGCCAAGATCGATAATGATGGGTGTGTTTCACTGGCCATTAGAGGCGGCTGCTTCCCATGTATCAAGACACACATTCAATGTAACTCAACACCGCTGGCTGTCCTATAATTAAAGGAGTGCCCCAATCACTATAACAACTGCAGCTTGCCGACACTCTCCGTCAATGAGCTAGGCCTGCACTGCATATTTGTGGGTCTCCAGCGCTTGTAGTGGAGGCGGAAAGTGGTGTCTGGTGTCCTCCAGGTAACACGTCAAACCAATATTTATAAATTAAAAATAAAAAGTCTAAAAATTAGCTTATAGTGGAATAAAAGATTTCAGATTGATAATTTCTACTCAGCAATGTCCACGACGGTTCCCCTTTCTTATTTCACAATGTCTTTTGTGCCTCCACAGTTCCATGAAATATTCTGTATATATTACACCATAACAGTATCGCCTTTTCATTGAATGATTCTGCAAGTTTTATTCACTGAAAAAAAAGTGACAATGAGCAATCCGTGCAATTTTATCTTCCCTTTACTGCTGCTGTTGTATTATAATTGTACGCAGATCTGAGGTTAATATGGTCAGTATGGATATACTGGATACATCAAGGTAACGTGTGTATTACGGGATTCTATCACTTCTGTTATCATGTGAGCACATACAAGCCAAAAACAAACAAAAACTCTAACCTTAAAGCGGCTCTGACACTCACACACCTGAATAATTAGTATTTTATAAAGACAGAATCTTTATGAAATACTCAGATTGACTCTGTTAAAATTTCATTGTAATTCCAACACAGTCAAGAGATATACTGAGACTACTTCTAGACACTGGACTGATCAATCCCCTCAATCGTCACCAGTGATGGCTGCAGGGAGTTGGCTTCATCATACCTCAATGCTGTACTCTAACCCATGTGGCTCTTGACACTGAAGAAGAGAAAATGGTGGTGTCCACAAGAGACAGGTTCAGGTAAGCAGAACTCACCATTAACTGTTCCTCCAGGCACCAGACCCACAAGTGGCAAGGTCCATTTAAAATGAACAGGACATCTACAAATCAAGTGGGTGACAAGTTACACTTAGGAAGGAAGATTGCATATACGCTTGCAGTTGTATAGATTAGAAGATATATTGATAATTCTGCTGGTTTTATGATATGATTTATGTTATCACTTTGTTATGTCGCAATCAAACAGGGACTTACCCCAATAAAAAATAAATTAAAAAAACGTGCACGCCTAAAAATCTCTCCATTCACATGTAATGTGGTGTCCTTAATACATACAGTTTACAAATCACACGTGGCATCTCACATTAGTTGGCACACATCAATGCATGGAAGGCTTTAAGGCCATGCCTACAGCATCACTGGGAAGCCCAAGAAGGTCAAATCAGAGCATAGTTATAGAAGTTTTGGCAATTTGGCTAGTGTAATGTATAGATACAATGTTATTCTCTTCGGTGTGAAATCACGTCAGGAGCACTTTAATTCTGGTTACTCCAGAACCATGTATATCTGTATGTAGCAATTTACAGCTTCCAGAGGCACTATGTGACATTACACAGATCTGTACGGTGTCAGCAGAAGTCTGTTCTTATACAAAGCATTACTAAATATATCACAGTCTGCAATTCCACAAAGACTGGGATTTATATAACTGAATCCACGCCAGCTGGGGAGATGGGATCTGCTTTCTGTACATCTCCCCATCACCCTGCCAGGAAAGTCCCAAATACAATTCTCATTTTAAAGTAGAATTCTACATGCACGCATAACTCCGTGTCACGAACAGAAGCAGACCACAAATATGTATCCCCGATGACAATAGATGGGGAGAGCTAGGATATTCCAATAAACACTTTGTAAACAGAATACGTCTCCATTTGGATACTGTAAATAATTATAAAAGGAAGATTCATGGGGCCCAGACTTGTGTCTCAGACGCCTACAGAACGTTTCCATGGAGGATAGAATGGATTTATATACAGCAGAATTCAATGTATAATAGTTTACCATACATGTCATTCCCAGTAATGCTCTATGATATAGCGACCAGCCATCCTGTTTACCATCCTCCGTTCTACAGATGCTAAAAGCTGCTCTTAATAAACTTTCTGTAGTATTTGCACAGTCATGTTGTACTTTAAAAACTGCCTATACATTGCGTTCATTTTGAAGACCTCCATACATTGCCCAATTTGGGGCTGAGGTTGTGCCATCATATATTATTCGCAACTGGACGCACTCATATTGCACAAACTAAGCACATAAAACAACTGTGAGTGACAGCCCCCTCACCCAAACCTCGTAATGTAGGGAGCTATGACAATCTCATAGTTTAATACTATTGCATGAAATTAGAATTAACATGGAGATCGTTATGGCACAGGTGGCATTCAGCATCAGACCAAAACGCCATGACCTCTTTAGAAATGCTCAGAATAAATCATTTAGGTCTGAATCGCTGGTTCTGATTGGCTGCTCACATTACACAGTTACTCGCTAACTGTTCAGGATCCAGAGGGAAAGTTAACCTAATTAGGAAGATCAGCACGCCATGAAGCAATGTTTGGTACGATGTCTAAGGATTCCCTCCAGCCCCAAATGTGAGAATACACAATCCTGAATTTGTACCCTGGTGTCATTTAGGAGCCAGAAAGAGCAGAACAAATACAAATACATCAATGGATTCGCTCAGGCTGTGAAGTGTAACCTCAACATACAGAGCTAAGGGTGGAATGCTACAAAGCGTTCTGGACAGGGTTTCTGTGCTACTTACCAGTCCTTAAAGGTACACTATAGACCTTAAGACAACTTGACCTTAATGAAGCAGTTTTGGTGTTTAGAACATGCCCCTGCAGTTTCACTGCTCAATTCTCTGCCATTAAGGAGTAAAATCACTTTTATTTGTGTTTATGTAGCCCTAGCCACACCTCCCCTATATGTGATTTACACAACCTTCCTAAACACTTCCTGTAAAGAGTCCTCTAATGTGTATACTGCTTTTATTGCACGGTCTCTTTAGACTTTCTTATCTCCTGCTCTGTTAATAGCCTTATTGACCCTATAGGAGACTCCTGTGTGTGATTGAAGTTCAATTTACAGAGCAAGAGATAAAAACTTCTAAAATCAGGTTAACATCTGATTGGAAACTAAACCATGGTGTTTTAATGCAGGATGTGTCAGTCACAGCCAGGGGAGGTGTGGCAAGGACAGCATAATCAAAGGAGAAACAAAAGTGATTTAACTATTAAATGACAGAGAATTGAGCAGTGAGACTGCAGGAGCATGATCTATACACAGACAACAACTGCTTCATTAAGCTAAAGCGGTTTTGGTGCCTATAGTGTGCCTTAAAAAAAAATAAAAAAAAATGATCTTATAGTTAGGATAGCCTTATGCCTATCCCACGCATGCTTAAACTCCTTTACTGTGTTAACCTCTACCACTTCAGCTGGAAGGCTATTCCATGCATCCACTACCCTCTCAGTAAAGTAATACTTCCTGATGTTATTTTTAAACCTTTGCCCCTCTAATTTAAGACTATGTCCTCTTGTTGTGGTAGTTTTTCTAGTTAATTTTAAATTTTATTAGCAACACAACTCTTTATATTAAAGTCAAAGCATTACATTTCAGTTTGAAATTATTTTACTATCCATCAAATAAATAGATCAAACGGGCAAAACCTTACAAAAATGCATTGTTCAAAGCAAGCCTACAAAAAAAAAAAAAAAGAGTTAATTTATTATATCAACTATTACAGTGTAAAAAGTGCAAAAACAAAAACAAAAATAAAAAGCAAAATGTTTCATGCTACTGATCCTCAAGCATTCAGCCTATTCTTAAAGGGAAACTATAGTGTCAGGAAAACAAACTCGTTTTCCTGGCACTATAGCTTCCTCCTCTGTCAAGGCCCCCTTCCGCGGTGGTGAAGGAGTTAATAACCCCTTTAGTCACTTACCTGGGTCCAGTGCCGATGGTCCCTCATCGCTGGCTCAGCTCCGCCCACACATGGCAGCGTACCCATTAGGATCTCCCAATAGGACACCATTATTCAATGCGTTCCTGTGGGGAAAATCTGACGCTGGAGGTCCTCATGCAGAGCGAGAGGACGTCCAGCGTCAGATAACGGACCAAAAGTCTGTTTCAATTCCGGAAGTCCCTCTAGTGGCTGTCTGGTAGAGGAGGAGTTAACCCTCAGAGGTAATTATTGCAGTTTATTAAAAAAGCTAACAATAATTACTGCTGCAGGTTAAGGGTGATGGGAGTTGGCACCCACACCACTTTAATGAGATGAAGTGGTCTGGGTGCCTACAGTGTCCCTTTATGCTGTAGAAAGTATCTTTATGAAAATTAACCATTTGCTTTCTGTAACTGCCTTGGGTAGAAGTTTCCTTTAAGGATAAATATCTTCATTTAAATCAGAACGTTACTTTTTTTTTCCCCCTATTATCTACAAGATGATGTTTAAAAATGAGAACACAGCAATTCTGCTTCAAACAATAGAAAACTCCAGGAAAACAATTTAATTAAGGAAGTTCAACAGCTAAGGGCTTACTCTACAAAATTGCAGCTGCACACATCAAAGGATGGCAACGGAGACACTAGGCGTTTGGGAAGCAATGCCTAATTATTTAATGGGGTCTGCTGTATAGGCAAGAGATACTCCCTGAATTGCATACCTGCCAAGTGCCCCCTGTTTAGGAAGAACAGTCCTTCTTAAAATACTTCTGTCACCTTTCCCCCCTCCCACCCCCCCAAGAGTTTTATATATTTGTTGAAATTAAACTAACTGGAGTTTAATTAGATTACTGGAATTTATAGTTAAAGGGACACGATAGTCAACAGAACAACTATAGCTTAATGTAGTTGTTATGGTGTATATAGCCTGTCCCTGCAGACTTTTTAATACAGACACTGCCTTTACAGATACGTTTTTACATTGCTGCCTAGGAGTAACGCTAGTGGCAGTCACGCAGATGGCCACTTAAAGGTGTAAACACGAAATGCTCCCCATAGAGATTTATTCAGTCAATGCATCTGAGGAAAAGCTCATTGGCGTGGTGCTGCATTTAGCCTCACATGTGCAATAGCCTCCCAATGCTTTCCTATAGGTCTGACAGCCACTAGAGGCAGTCTTAGTACTGCTATGCAATGCTTGCAGTTTCTCAAAAACAGCAATGATTTACATTGCAGGACTAAAGGGGATAGGGACATTGTATCCAGACCACTTCAATGAGATAAAGTGGTCTGAAAATGAACTTTGATAGATATTTTAGGTTCCTTTATTACACAGTCTGTTTAATATAGAATTTCCTATCTTCTGCTATGTTAATAGCCTTCTAAACTCTGCAGGAGCCTCACGTGTGTGATTAAAGTTCAATTAACAGAGCAAGAGATTAAAAATTTTTTTTAAAAAATTAAAAAAAAAAAACATCTAAAGTAAGTTAACATCTGATTGAAACCTAAACCGTTTTGTTTTCATGCAGGCTGCGTCAGTCACAACCAGGGGAGGTTAGAATAGACCAACGACACTGCAGGGCATGGTGTGTATACAAAAAAATGGCTTTATGGGTGTGGAGTGGTCCATAAGCCCTGTGCATTTTTGATAGCCTCTCAAATTAAGGAGGAACCATTAGTTGATAAAATTGCAATCTGTATTGGATTCAGATGTAAATTTAAAATTGTAAATTACTCAAAGTTTTCATGCAAACTGTGCATCTTAATTGCAGATCGCCTCAAACTCAATTTTTCGATTGCTGCTGCAAGTCAGTACCATAAATCTTAGTTTATTACAAACTGTACATGAATGGTCTCAAAAAGCATGGAAACAACAATTAGTCACTTCCAGGGAATAAATCTCCCAGGCTCTTTAACTCCAGTTTGTGAATCATTCCACAATCTCAGTGACTTCCTGAAGGAAAATCATTATTTCAGTCTATTTACTCTGAAAGCGTGTCATATCGCTGATGTCATTTCTATTTTCGGCTGCAAACACCATTTTTAATGACTTTGCAGAAGACATCAAGGGACCAGTCTGGGAGGATTAGAGATCTGTGTTAAAGTGACACTAAGCACCATAAAACTGCTACAGTTTATACTGTACGGGGATTACGGGGCAACATGCCTTTAACCCCTTAATGACACATGATTCCCTTTTATTACAGAAGTTTGGTCCTTAAGGGGTTAAATGCAGCTCATACAATTGTTTTTCCCAAACCATGTGCTCACAAAAAGGATGCAAAAAGAGCCAATCTGTCGGTGTAGAGAAGGCCCATATATTAACAGACTGCTCAAAAACAGAAGGACCACATTCAAAGACTTTAGCCTTTACCCCAACAATAAAATGCAGTATAGAGACCTGCTTTGGTGTTTTGTTTTAGTTTTTCAAAAGAACGAAAGATAAAATAGCTTTAGAGAAATAATACTCCCAGTAATGTGTCTTTAAACTGCAATAAATGTGTTTAGAAACCATAGAAACATAGAATGTGATGGCCGATAAGAACCATTCGGCCCATCTAGTCTGCCCAATTTTCTAAATACTTTCATTACTCCCTAGTCTTATCTTATAGTTAGGATAGCCTTATGCCTATCCCACGCATGATTAAACTCCTTTACTGTGTTAACCTCTACTACTTCAGCTGGAAGGCTATTCCATGCATCCACTACCCTCTCAGTAAAGTAATACTTCCTGATATTATTTTTAAACCTTTGTCCCTCTAATTTAAGACTATGTCCTCTTGTTGTGGTAGTTTTTCTTCTTTTAAATATAGTCTCCTCCTTTACAGTCTGTGTAAATAAGACCATTTGGTTAGTCAGGTCACGCTAATAAGTTCAGCTCACACCACATTCCATCCTCGACCCTAAATAAAAATGTCTCTTTCAGGCTGTTTGAAAAGTTGGGAGGTAGAATGGTCTACTGTGTGATCCCCAGCTCCGAGTCAAAGTACTCCATTATCAGTCTTCATATAAATAAACATAGGAGATACTTGTATCACCACACCTCGCAGGTATTATTATTATTATTATTATTATTGCCATTTATATAGCGTCAACAGATTCCGTGGCGCTTTACAATATTAAGAGAGGGGATTTAACAAGGTATAGAACTGGGACAAGGTAGAGGACATGCCAATGGTCATATTTGGGTCATGTCAGAAAGTGGAGTTTTCCTGATGGGGCGCGGTGCACTTATATGGGCATGATGCCCTGACTTTGTTTGAGTGAGTTCATGTATTTAAGAAAAAAAAAAATTTATTTAAAAAAAACAAACTCTTTGTGCAGTAAAACACAGAATGGCGCAACATGGACTGGAAATAGGGACTATACTACATGGACTCAGGATCGTTGGGAGGTGTGCAGCACTTTGTGGGGTACTTTTAAACAGTGGTGCTCATAGCATATGAGCACACCATATCCCATTATTTTCCACCTTAAATATTTTAAAATATTACAAATATTTTCTTCTTTAAGTGTCAATTGGTGTATTTTTTTTAATTTATTTTTTAAATAAACCTATAGTTCATTCTTTGCAATGCATGTTTGGAGTTCTGCTCCCCCTTATGGTTCGTCTAAGTATTTAAATCATAAACAGACTGGACTCCATATACCAACCAGAAGTTTGGTCACTACATCAAATTCAAAAGGAGGTGATAGTACAATAACCACCATCAGGCGGATCAGTAACAGGACAAGTTTGCAGCAGGAGGTAAATTAAGACTCCTTATGGATTTATTTAGGAGAGAGTAACGTACAGCATCGCTGTGATTACTGGGAAGCTATGAATGCGGAATAATGACATGCAAACAAGCTGGCTCATCAAGATTAACCACATGAGGTGAGATCACGGCTTTACATAAACACGCTGGAAAAGGCCATATGGCCCTTGAAATAGCATGATGTGCCAATTAAATAAATTAAATAGCTCTGAAAAAGATTAAGCATTGGTGGAGTTCGAGTGACCACATGGCTACTGTAAAAACAGTAAATCAGTGGATATAAAACATGGCCAATTAATAATTGAAAAAAAAAAAAATATTTCACATTGACAATTCTAGACTTTGCAAGAAACGTTTACAAATCCAGAAAGTGACGGATGCTTTCTAAAGATCTGCTGAGCTTTCCAGGCAGTTAGAGTTTAATGGGAGAAGAAGTTCCGAAGACAAGGGAACTACAACTCATAGAAGGTCAGGACATCACAAATAGCAGCAGGTCTAAAGCAATAATATTATTGCTACCGGATTCACTGCTACTCAGCGTTCCATGAACCTACACCTAAATTTGCGCATGGGGTACTTGGAAGGTTTGCCTTGTTTATACAGTGAATACCAGTATTGCCCCCGCCCCCAAATAAATTTTTTTTAAACCTAACAAGGTGTTTCCCTTGCCCCAAATCTTATTATAATACAACAAGAAGTACATTCAATGACTGCACAATGTCCTTTCAAATATTAGGATATGGAGAAAAGTAAACCAAATAATTTTTTATTCATTTTTTGCCATTATAAATCTATTGGGTTATTGTTACCATTAACGGTCACGTAAAATTTATAATACCATTAAAACAGCAATGCACAACAGAAATAGGTGTTGTACATTCCTGCAGCATTGGAAATGATAAATAAATAAAATCCCAGAATCTAATATCCCGTACTAAACTGGAAAAGGCTATATCTGTGCTTTGAGCTCTGTCTGCTAGCATCTCGCACTGCAGACATTCGAATCAACGGAGCTTCCCTGTGGACAAAACAAACAACATTGTGTCGGCTCATAAAGCATTTAAACCATATATTGCCTTAACTGTACTGCTGGCGGACATATAGATCACTGGTTAAAAGCATTTTTAACTTGGCTTGTAGCCGATGTGCAAGGACAACGTTTCATTTCACATAGTGCACAAATTTAAAGGACGGCATCATTCACAAAACATATGACAATGACACTTTAAGGCAGATCTGGCAATTTAATTCTATATTCCGCTAGCATAATCTCCAGCATATATACTTTACTAAAGATTACACTCGCGTCTCCAAGATGGCGGCACCAATGCGTTGGTTTACATGCTTGCACATTGAACATGTTTAGCATCATAAAAGCAACAGATAAGGCATGTGATCGGATTAGCAGATTACACGTCTACATGATGTTATATGTCCCTCTCCAATTTCAATCCTTATAAACACAGCTCCGAGTTTATTCACTAAATTATAGCAAATTAAAATCTACATTGAGCCTAAAGTAGCCAAACTGACTATGGCGGAGTCCGTTTTACTTTGAAATAGGCTACATGTTGATGGACAGCAAATATATCAGCCTCATTCACATCGCTAGATTTTGAAACATTGGCCTCAAATTTTATATTTCGCATGAGTTTTTCCAATACTTTATTATATTTTAATGTATTGAGTTTATGTAAGATGTAGATATTTTGATATTTTAATACTTTGAAGAAAGAAAAAAAAAACTTTTTAAAGTGGCACAGTCACCCCTACCAACCTATAATTTATTTTTTAAATGAGCACTTTGTTTTATGTAGTTTTGCTACACAACAATGCGGAGCTACCTCTGTCATGCCCTAGTGATGTCTGGGGGGGGATAAAAAGGCTTTTTTTATGGCAGATCCTGTGGTTTAGCGGGATCCTCCATAGATGTGAATGTTGTACTCCCCTGCATGTGCGAGAGTATAACAGTGACATCATCGCCTGGCAGATGACATGCCAGGAGCTAAAAAGGACCTCGTGGAATAAGATGGCGGCGGCCAGGCAACTAAAACTACCTGCACCCTGCAGCCACCGGAATGCAAAATATTCAAAGAACCCAGAAGGTGACAGAGCCACTTTAAAAGTGTATCTGAAATATGAAATCAAGGCCAGGTGTTGAATCAACAGTTGCGTAAAAGCACATGTCACAGAGACTTCAGTTTTATTTTGTCAAGCTGTGATCTTATCCAACATGCAATATCCTGAAGATCGGTCCGATATAGCAGACTTACAGACATCTGAACGCAACAAGTGGCTCCCTCCCACGTTTACATTTACTGGCTGACGGAGAGAAATTCAGTTATCTGGGTAAAAAGCCAACATGCTACTGACTGCCCACCCAAAAATTACACTTTTGACATCTCAAAGAATGAAAGGTGCAACATTTGGGGTTTATCACATCTTGGCCTTTGCAACAGTCACCTCTGCAGTTTTAAGTTTACTGATGGATTGATTAGGTCACACTGGGTAGATAGAATTATCAGTACTACAAAAACAGGATAGTCACCAGCTACAAACACGAAATGTCAAAACAGATCTCACACATTCTACATTTATTTTTTTCCCCCACAAATTCGTAACACACTTTAATTGGGACTTGAATCACGTGATTACAGGATACATGGATATGGGATTTGTTAACAATACATTGGTTAATTAAAATGATTACAATGCAATGGCTTCTTCTCTACTCTCTAGCTACATTTACAATGAGTTTGTTTTAATCTCTTCGGTGTTATAAATTTGTTTTTAAACTCTGATCCAATCAACATTTAGAAGTGGTAAAATTATGAAAGCCCAATTTATATTAACTTCAACTCTCATTATCCTCACCCAACAATATGCAAATCTTGTCCCCTGAAAACATGACTATGCTCAGCCTCAGCACTTTCCTTTAGTCACATATTGACAAATTCTGGTGGCCCGGACCAAAACAGACAATACACAATAGTCAAAATCAGGTTCCCTTTGTTTCCATTTACCGTATATACTCGAGTATAAATCGACCCGAATATAAGCTGAGGCCCCTAATTTTACCACAAAAAACTGGGAAAACTTATTGACTCGAGTATAAGCCTAGGGTGGGAAATGCAGCAGCTACTGGTAAATTTCTAAATAAAATTAGATCCCAATAAAATTACATTAATTGAATATTTATTTACAGTGTGTGTGTATATAATGAATGCAGAGTGTGTGTTTGTGTGTGTATAGAATATGAATGCAGTGTGTGTTTGTGTGTTGTGAATATAATGAATGCAGTGTGTGTTTGTGTGTATATAATGAATGCAGTGTGTATATAATGCCGTGTGTATATAATGCAGTGTGTGTAAACTGGGTGAGGGGAGGGCATTTTTATTTTAATATTATATTATTTTAATAATATATTATTTTAATATTTGAATTATTTTTTTTTAAATGTTTTTTTTGTCCCCCCTCCCTGCTTGTTGCCTGGTCAGGGAGGAGGGACAAAAAAAAAAAAAAAAAAAAAAAAAAAAAAAAAAACATAATGCAAATATTAAAATAATAATATAATAAAATATTATTAAAATATAATATTAAAATAATAATATAATAAAATACTGAATCCCTGGTGGTCCAGTGGGGGGGGCTGACAGCGAGCTGTTACTTACCTTCTTGCAGCTCCCTTCTCCCCCATACAGCTACTCTGTCAGCTCCGTTCTGCTTACAGTGTAAGTCTTGCGAGACCCGGGTCTCGCGAGACTTACACTGTAAGCAGAACGGAGCTGACAGAGGAGCTGCACGGAGGAGAAGGGAGCTGCAGGAAAGGTAAGTAACAGCTCGCTGCCAGCCCCCAACAGGACCGCCCGGCTTGTAATGAGCCCGGCGGTCCTGGTCTGTATTGTGGCAATGCAAGTTGCCATTATACAGACTGACTCGAGTATAAGCCGAGTGGGCGGTTTTTCAGCACAAAAAATGTGCCGAAAAACTCGTCTTATACTCTAGTATATACGGTAATTATAAAAACAGGGGTTGTGACAGCAGATGCAATCTACCAGGTACATTTACTCAGCCCATTTCCAAGATTAACTGAGCTTATTCTTGATTTTCTTACCTGCTCAACATTGCAAGAACTCCCTTTCATTGTACCATCTCTGCTGGATGGCTATTCCACCTATAAACAACGGTTTCTGATAATAAATATTTCACTAAGTTCTGATAAATGTTTTCTAGTCACCCCTTTCCACTCCCTTATTTTTTATCTAGAACAATGGTTCAGTTAAATGTCCCTAAAACATTAGAGTCCCACTCCCACCCGAAAGAGTTCCCTATGTCACGTCTTAAACTAGCCTAGAATTCCTATCCCTGTGTACAAATAAATGTACTTTGCTCTCATTGTACAACCCTGCAGAATATGTTAGAGACATTCATTAAAAATCCATCTACTACTGATTACCACTCCCAACAAGACCCAATGTCTAATTTTACAGCAATCCTACTAAACAGACGTCTTTATCTTTATGTGTACCCCTATTTCTTCAGTTTCCCTTAAAATTTAGTTAATATCTGCATCGTCTCAGCTAGCAGCTACTGTAGCACCCCCTTGTCTGATAACGTGTGAGTCCCCTGCATTATCTCAGGGCCCCACATGGGGAGAACGGACACAGTGATGTTGTATCCTGCGACCCAATATCTGGGAGTTAGAATTGTGGGAGTTTTCATGAATAATGATCCCTTAGCACAGAATGGGTCAGAATGGGGAATGCAAAGAATCTCTAAAAATAACATTATCAACATCTGTATACAGCTGGTTTCTATATACTACAGCCGTGAATTCTGGCCGCCCAATATCTAAAGGTCCATGCAGTGTCACTCAGAGGGCAGCACACATATGGTGTTAGTGTCTAATGGCACAGAGATACAACACTGAATAATCAGTTGTCTCATACCTACCAAGTGTCCCTACTTATGAGCGACAGTCTCTATTTTGGCCTCAAATCATTCTGTACATCTATTCTAATGCTGGTTTTCCTTGGAACACCCAATGTTTGGTGTGTGAGTGTACAGCAGAGCTCCACAGTAAGACGTCTTTAAAACTACAATAAATGTGTATATATGTTAATGTCCCTCTATGACCTTTTGATATGTGGAAGTAAAATAGTGAGAATAGAGTATCTTTTTTGTCAAGACAACTATTAAATGATATTATTACAAAGTTTTATCAGAACACAGAAATGCCTGAAGCTAGCAACTATTGAAAAGCTACTAAGCCCCCACTTAGATAAATTGTAAAAAAAGCATGGTCGGACTTACAAAAAGAGATGGAGAGATGGGGCGGGATGGAGCGCTCATTGCTGGGGAGGGTCGCAACTATTAAAATGACGATACTCCCAAAAATTTTATATTTTTTTAGGACCATTCCTCTGTCCATCCCATTATAATTTTTTAATAAAGTTCACTCGACAATGCTGAAGTTTACCTGGGGGAACAAGCCTGCCCGAGTAAGGCTCACTTCCCTGCAGCACCATAAAATCGAATGACGGTATCGGTGTCCCCGATATCCGTAAATATTATTTTGCCACGAACGCTGCGGTGGTTGTGAGCTTTAACAACCAGGTTGATAAACCCAGATGGATGGAAATAGAAGAATCGAAAATTTTACTGGTTAGATTATCAGAATTACCTTGGTTAAATCCTAAGAAAAGACCTGGAATTACAAAATTATTTTTATCTACCAAGACTACGCTTAAGGCCTGGGACATTGTTTTTAAAAATGACTATTCTCCCAGTTTATATAGAGCAATGCCTATTGAGTTATTGAAAGATTATATACCATCCTTAAAAAATAGAACTGTTGAAGGATTGCTCTATAACTAATCTGGATAAAAAAAATTTATGGCAAAGCTATTCTTTCTTTGGAAAAATTAAAGCTTAAGTATGGATTAACAAATGTATGAACTGGAATGTATGTTAATCATTGACAAATTGAAAGAACTATACCAATTGAAACAGATAAAAACTATAAATCACTTGAGTTATCTCCTTTAGAGAAAGTTTTTTTTATACATCCCCGCTAGTAAAGGTATGATATCCTTATGTTATTTGTTTTAGAATGCCAAGCCCTTAGTTAAAGTAAAACATATGTTGTTATGGGAGACGGAGTTGGGTGCCCAGTACGATTTAGAAGAATTGTTCGATTTTTTTTAAAGGTATTTCGTATTGCACCGACCATTTTGAAAATCATTATAAAATTTTATATCGCTGGTACCTGGCTCCGTCTAGATTACATAACATGAACAATATGTATTCTGACCGGTGTTGGAGAGACTGTGGGGGTGTGGGCAATATGGCCCATATCTGGTGGTTCTGCCCCAAAATTAACTAATTATTAGAAAATGATTCATGATCTAATTATTAAAGTGAACAGAACCATTCGGAACTAGCCTTATTTAAAAAACTCCCGGAGTCCATTAATAGAACTTGCTTCCCTCCTCCGTTAGATGCTCACCCAGTCTCCATTCCTTCAAAAAAATCGTTAAAAACCCACTTCTTCATAAAAGTGTATGAATTAAACTGTTAATAGCTCCTGACTGATTCCTCTTCTGCAACTGTCACTAGTCTAATACTATCCTTACCTTTTTGTGTCATTTTACCCCACTCCCTCTAGCATGTAAGCTCATTGAGCAGGGCCCTCAACCCCTCTGTCCCTGTGTGTCCAACTTGTCTGGTTACAACTACATGTCTTTTCGTCCACCCATTGTAAAGCGCTGCTGAATTTGACGGCGCTCTATAAAGATCATAATAATAATAATAATAATAATAATAATAATAATAAAATAATCATAGGCCACATTCTGATCGCTGCTACATCCTGTTTACCTAGACATTGGAAGTCCCAAAATGTGCCATCTCTCAGAGACGTTTTTAATTTGATTCTAGAAAACAAGGCACACGAATTATCGCATAGAGCTAATATGCATGGTTTCCCAATATTAAAATATAATTGGGATAAATGGGAAGAAAAAAATCAAACAGTTTATGGTCTTTGATATATTTATTGTTAAAGTGCATTGATGTACAACATTTTTGCCATATACATTGTTATGCCTATTTCAATGATGGATAGATACCCCTTCCCATTTCCAAGTTCCCCTTCCTTTCCTACTCCTAATACAATATTTGTATTATTATTACTTGTCATACAAAATTTTAAAACTTCCATAAAAATTATTTTAAAAGATAAATTGTAAAACAGAATAAATAGTTCAGCAATATGTGAGCATTGGGTCTTTAAAGGCACCGAAACAAACACAGAAATCCCTTTAACTGGCCTCTTGTGTCACATGACCGTAGAAAAAAAAAAATCAATGTCACATGACAGCATAATTATTGATGGGCAGACTCGGACCATTGAGAATTACTCTTTGATGTTCTTGTTTCTGTATTTATTAATAAAAGGACAGATCTGTTGGGATAACATTAAATGCAAGTTTGGGGTTTTATAATGTTGCACAGTCAGCAGTCTTGCTTTCGGGATTATTCTCTAAAGTTTGAATTATCGGGAATTCAATGTGAATTTAAAATTTTCTGCTGTTTTCGTCAAACTAATCTCTCCTTGAGATGAGGTGATTCGGACTCACCTGTCCATAGTCACTGGTAAACACAACGTTGACATCGCTGGAGGTGACCGTCGCTGGCAGTAGACCATCTTTTCTCACCAGCCATACTCGGCAGCCCTGTTACAGAAAACCAGAGAGAAATTGAAATTAATAAGGGAGATCCCACCCCATGACAAGACATTTATAAAGCACAGACAACGCTCCAACATCCCCCCAAGATACACACATCTGGCTAACTTCCAGGCCTCGGAAAATGCCAGCATAGACCTGTCAATTAGAGGACCAGGCCAAAACATTAGATGGAGACAAAATTGCGAGAGCTGCAGGCAGACCTAGATTGCTGCTCCCTGGGATATGACAACCAAATAGATAATGAGCGTTTCAACCTTCAGGAGAAAATGGCAGAAGACAGGCACGTGGTGACCGGGTAGGGATGGCTGTCAAAGGGAAGCGTGATTGGAAGGTCTGTCAACTCCATAACCATTCACCTTGGAAAATGGGGAACTTGTCCCCTCTACTCCTGCACACCTCCGGAGCAGACACAGCAGGGAGGAGGTCTAGCCTCAGAGAAAACACTTAATTACGCTGAAACAGCACTCAGAATACTAGTTATATAGGCTGAAAAGAGACATGTGCAGACTAAAAAACAGGACAGAACCATTAGCACATCCCACGATTTAACAGCCACAGTGAGGTGGATGGATATTATATAAAGCAAGTCCATCAGCAGAATGAGAAACGGACCAACTTTCCTCTAAATGTGTAGATTTGCACAAGTAATAATGGAGTCATCAAATAAATTTTGTGATTAACAGATTTATTGTCAGGACTTACAGTGAGCCAAGCTGTCTACTTCTCGTTTCACTAAGCTTTCCTACATCCTGTCTCCATGTCCCCACACAACTATGTGAAACACACACAAATTCTACAATGTGTAAGGTTGAAAAGTCTCAAGTATGATGGCATCATTAGAACATTGGCACTTCGGTCCATAAGTACCTGGACAGTGACAAAATTTGTGGTGGTTTTAATTCAAGACTCCCACAAAGTGGATGGATTATGTATCCAAAGGGGGCTTTACTTTTTACCACATTTACGGTTTATGAATAAAGATAACCTCAAATTAAAGCAGTCTCTCTGTCCTTTGTCCTCATGTCATATTTAATCAAGTTTCAGTTAAAGGCCTATGTGCTAGAGCAGTGCAGAGCCAAAACTGGAGTCCGTGTCCAAATATATATATGGACCACCATGTAAAGTAATGGGGCATTAATGTGGGTTACCAACCTTGTATTTTTTTGTATTACAATAAAGAGACTCTTAGTCAATGCATAGAATGGTTATTATATATGATAAACTGCCAGTCAGCCTATATTAAACTTTAGAAGTAGTTTCATTCATGGATTTCAATGAATGAAGCAATTAACAGACCATGCGCGCTCTACAGTCTTTCACATATTAAGTAAAGAGGAGTCTGCTTATCAGTAAATCACTCTCTGGGGTCTCAAATACATTACGTGTTTTTTTTAAAACTTATTTTGGAGTGTGTCCTTATGCAAACTGTTACATTTATGAATATATTATTTAGGGTCCTGTATATTTATGAATAATTCTGGCAAGCAATATTACCGATATATTAACATTAACTTATAAAAATTATAAACAAATAAAAGAAACTTCTGATTTTTCACATACCCGTCGAGCGTGTGTTCACCACATTCAAAGGTCAGATTCTCCTCAAAAACTTTAAATTAAAAAATGAGAAACTCTAATAAATCTTAGCCAACCCAATGGATTACAACCACAACAGTTAGCTCGAGCCATACCGAGCAGATCGCATGCTGTTCAACTGTCAAAAGTTTTAATAGTTTGTCTCATTTGTTGTTATGGTCTAATCAAAAATAAGGTAAAGAGATACGGAATAGGTTGGCACTATATAAAATGACAATACAAATAATAACTGCAGCTCCCATAACCCTCAGCTAACACTCTTTTTTAATAGATAACTGCATCATTCTAAAACACAAATTCATACTCAGACTAGCATTTTACTATATCTTCAAATACCAGTGAATGGGCTAAGAGTGATGGGGCTGCAGTTCAGTAGCAAGTGAAAAATGTTCTACATACAGTCCGGGGAGCATTTTATAGGATGTCCTTACCCATGTGCAGAGTCACCCTCCCCCCACTACACCAGGGACAGATGGCACGAGAAGGTACTGTACCTATAAATAGGGTACCAGGCGCTGAGGATGAAGGACAATGTGGCTACAGAAGAAGAGGTGGGGGCATGGTATGCGCATGCAGAATGTGCCCAAGGCATACAAGCCCAGAATTCAGCAGGAGGGAAGAGATCCACAGCAGGAGGGAATAGACAAGCTGCAGGCAGGTATATAGATTGGCCTAAAGGGATGATGGCAGGAGACACAGCTAAGGGTCAGGGAGATTAACAGGAAGTTGGATTTTACCAGTTAGTGTTTACTGGCGCTGTGTGCCTCAGGACAGTAATGAATTGCAAGCTCTGCAGGGAAGCAGTGACTTCCATTTATTAGATTTCACTAATGATTTGAGAAAAGACGATACGCTCATATGAGCCTACAGTCATATATTGCACAGCGCTACTGAATATGTTGGCACTCTAAAAAAAAAATAAAAAAAATTAGAACATCTATCCACCTTATTTTTTCAACTGTGCAGTTTACAGTACATTAGGGCTCTTACACTGCAACTCAACAACAATTCCCATCACTCTCAGCCAGCAGGAAAGGTATGGGTTGAAACCCCGAACTATAGCTAATGGTTTTCTCACAAACCTTAGTAAAAGCTTGGACATGCACAGCACTGGTCATTTCAGCTAGCTAGGACTTCCATGGTGCCCAGCCCTTATCTAGCTTGTCGAATTACCACCCTAATAATGCTTAGCTGCAAATACATGCCAGAGGGGAAACAAACTCCAATACCTTCGGCTAACCCAACCCTCTAACTTGGCAGGAGCAGTCACCCTGCTGCAATGTGATGGCTGACCTTTAATGTGGGGAATGTTTCTGACATTCGTTTGCAGTGATGTTTGGAAGAAGTGTTCAATTATTAAACAGCAACTTGCTGAGCCGGCCACATGCGGCTTTACAGAACAGATTCTGAATTGACAATTTAGTAATTCGTTATACTGGTGGGGAGTCGTAATGAAGAGCAACTTTGAATTATTTTTATTTAGTGTTTTTTTACGTTAATAAAATAAAAGAAAAAAAATGCAGAAAAATCACGTTCAAGGATAATGTACAAGGATTGATTTACTACACTCGAGTATGGTCTACGTACTCCCAATTTGGGGTGCAGCACAAAATTTCACAATGGGATGTATAATGGCTTCTTAAATTTACTCTTCTATCAACACATCTTGTAACACATTACATTCAAGGGACACTGTAGTCACCAAAACAACTTTAGCTTAATGAATTACTTTTGGTGTATAGATCATGGCTCGAATCGCACTGCGCATTTCTCTGCCATTTAAGAGTTTAAGGACTTTCGCAATCCTAGACACACCTCTTCTGGCTGTGACTGACACAGCCTGCATGATAACAAAATGGTTTCATTTTTAATCCGATATAACTTACTTTAAAAGTTTTTATCGTCTGCTCTGTAATCTGAACTGTCACATGTTTGAGAGTCTATTGTGGTTATTCCTTCAATCCTCCACTAGTCCTAATTTCAGATGTGCTGAATATAGTGAAAATAGGCTAAACGCAGCAATCTAATCTTTACTAGGCCACACTCTGCTTTTTATGCAGTGCCCCTAGCATGGGGTTTTCAATGCAAAAATCACAGGGGTTTCCATCCTACAAGCCATTGCGTTTGAGAGATAATTGAGCTCCCATTAAGCTAATCCAATGATCTCTCAAATAGGAAAACTTACATATCACAAAGATTCATGACAACAGTATTGGAACCCCACAAAAATTATATTCCCGAATAGCACCGATCTATAGAGAGCCTCAGGCGGCTGCAGCACTGCCTCTTTCCTCACCTCCCCTTCCCTGTAGCGTGGCCGAGCTTCTCTCCAGTCCACGGTACAGGAAACAGAAACTCATGTACCGCGGACCGGAGAGGAGCTTGGCCACGCTACAGGGAAGGGGAGGTGAGGAGAACGGGGGGGGGTGGGGAGGAATAAGAATAAGACGGGAGGGGGAGTAAGAAGAAGAGGGGAGAGGGAGAGAAAGAAGAAGAGGGGAGAGGGAGAGAAAGAAGAAGAGGGGAGAGGGAGAGAAAGAAGAAGAGGGGAGAGGGAGAGAAAGAAGAAGAGGGGAGAGGGAGAGAAAGAAGAAGAGGGGAGAGGGAGAGAAAGAAGAAGAGGGGAGGGCGGGGAAGTCTATCCAAAAGAGACATCAATACCTATTCACAGATTACTACTCCAGCCTCATTTTTATCATATTTAGAATGAGACATAATTAGACATAACGTAATTTCCTGCTGGACACCAAGACACATAGCACAGTAGCTTTTATACAATACAATTAACCCAATAGCTTTCATTCAGCTCAACATTTTTACAAAATAACTCAACATTAACACAATATACCCCCCATATCCTATGTAGCATCATATATCATATATAGTCTGTGGGTAGGAGGCTAGCTATTATGCCTCTCCAGCAGGCTGTGGCACGGGAGTTTCCGTGACATGAACTTTAAATCACAAATAGGAGGCTCCTGCAGGGTCTAGAAGGCTATTAACAGAGCAAGAGATAAGAATCTCTACATTAAATAGAATTTGCAATAAAGGAAATGTAAACCGTAGATCTCTCTTTACAGGAAGTGTTTAAGAAAGCTGTGCAAGTCACATGCAGGGAGGTGTAACAAGCTGCATAAACAAAGTAATTTAACTCCTAAATGGCATAGAATTGAGCAGTGAGACTGCAGGCGCATGATCTATAAACAAAAACGGCTTCATTAAACTTAAGTTGTTTAGGGGATTATAGTGTCCATTTAAATGGCAATTTCCAGATCCCTAAACATCAGTCTAGTCAGAAAAATAGTAGTCAGCTGACTGTTTTCAGTCTATCACTGCGCCCATTGCATGTATGAATTGGTACAACTATAAGGAAGTGTGTGATCTCTGCTTAAGCCACACCTCCTGTAGGGGTTGGCCTGTGGGTGGCCATGGACCTTAATTCAGTGTTAAACTGCTCAAAAATGGTTAACACTGAATAGACTGTGCCAGGGCACTGCAAGCACTAACAAATTCAATGAGGAAATAAAACTATCCATTTAAGGAGAATACAGTACATTTCAACATTCTGCTAGGCAAACAGCTAGCAAATGTATTGCTCAAATGCACATTATACATTGGCAAAGCAATAAAGGAAAAAAAAATAAAAAATTGGCGCCCTCCAGTGTACCTCCCGTCATCCCACATTTAATAGCATTCACATTCTCAGAATACTCAAATTGCTAGGATTTGTGGACTGAATTATAATTTACAGCAAGCGGAATGTGAAAATCTTAAGGAAAATAATTGTTTTTATAATTATCGAAAATAACCTTTATTATCGGTTAGAAAGCCACTTTGTGTGTTATTTATCGATGTATACATACATGCGAATAAATATTCAGAGCATCACATGGCTACTACTATTGTCGAATGGGGGCAACCATTTTTAAGTCCTCTTTGGTAAGAGGCACCACATGACCGATTAAAAAAATGGAAAAAGAAATAAAGTGCTCAGAGAGCATTTTTGTGATATCCAGCCCTTGCATATAGACTTGAGCTCGTTCATAAATCTTGCACGGTCTTTGGTCAGAGAAGTAATGATTCTGGCCCAAGTGGTTAGTAATCCTTTATGTACAAGATATCACAGTTTTATTGTGTACAGATATGTTCACATACTAAGCTTTGGTTCTATAAAGAGCCTACAAATGGCCTGCATTCTTAGGGCTGTGTATATAACAGGATTATATGAAGACAAAGATAGATTCCTTTTTATGTGTAGGTCTTCTGTCTGTCAGATCTATAAATTTTTTATTTATTTTTTTTTTTATTTTTTTTTTTACAGATGGCTCAGGCATTTCTCAGGTTTTCCTCTTCATAGAAGAGCACGTCAGAAAATGACCTGCTTGTGGTGAGAAAAAAAAAACACAAGAAAGAATTCTGGTTTTCAGTTAATCCCTTTGATGTAACATAGTTTATGTTCCATGTCTTTCCCCTCCACCCAGGATGCCTTCTCCATAGATTGCAATGCTTCAGCCTTCCTACCATTGGACATATGACGCACACAATGAATCATTTCATTTGCACTGAAAGGAATCACCACCAGACTGGTTTCTAAAATAATGTCATTCATCACAGAAGGCTACTCTCATCCTTGGAATATAAATTCTGCTTCAGGAACAAAATTCCTCGGATTACAATTCTACAGGAAATGCATTTCTCCTCACAATGTCTGAGAAAGATTTAAACTCCACTTATTTGATGATATTGTGCAGCTTTAGAGAGAGGATGGAATGTAGGACTGGGAGCAAAAACAGAATTAGCAGGTTTGCGTAAACCGAAAATACCAAATACCTTCCAACAAATATCACAAATATATATTAAGAAAAAAAGACAAGAAAAAAAAAAAAAAAGGTGCTTTTTAAAAGTTCCGTTACGGAGTACAAATGTTATCAAGTTATTGGTGGTGGGGCATCGTAGAAAAACGTCCCACCGCACATGCCTACCACTGTGTGACATGAAATCCCTAGTTAAAAGCAGTTCCCTTGAAAAGTACTATTTAGATAAGTCATCGTAAATATTTTGTGACCAATTAGAACTATATTCAGTTCCAGTTCTTGAATTAGTTTAGCAACACAAACATTACACACTTCTGCATTTTTTTTTTTTTAACCCCAGTTCTTAAAATGGAAAGTAAGAGTTTTTACTTTTTGCTGCATAAGGTTTCAGTCACGCTATATCCAATAAAAGAGTATTCTGTAAGGAAGTGTATGTACTTTGTTGTGTTACAATCTCCATAAGATGGTATACACTACTATGGCAAATCTGAGAATCAATAGAGTTAGGTCTTTCGTTATAGAAGAAGAAAAAAAAAAATAGAAAGTTAGACTTTGGTAACTGCAGGGCAAAGCATGAGAGGGCACTTGTCCCAGTCTGGAAATGTACCATCTAGTTTGCGGTATATTCCCAGGAGTACAAAAGTTCTGCTCCTTGGGTGGCACTTGTGAGCGTAAAAGTGGAATTGTGCTTGATGGAAGATATATCAGGCCTGATTTGTTAAACAGCAACCTGAGAATTTTCAGTTAAATGCCCCAGGGAGAGATGTTAGAGTTTGCAATCTACATTGCTAAGGTTCTGCAAAACATGGTATGGGTCCCTGGGGCAGAGTATTTGGAGAGCAGGGTGGGCCAATGCTCCAACAGCATTAGTTGCTGTGGAACAGACCACTATTTGGATCTCAATTACGAATTAGTTAATTGGCACTCACCTGTAGCCAGTCAATTAGTAGACAGGCCTTTAAAAGAAGAGGGCAGCCTGCTGCAGAGTGAGGGAGAAAAAGACAGCTAGGAGAGATTGTGTTTATTGCAAAGACATTGCTTTTGTTTGGAAAATTGGTAAGTGGGAAAGCCACCCAATTGCAGATAGCAATTACTGTCTAGTAAGAGCTCAAGTAAGAGCAAGGGATTTTGTTTGTTTTTGTTATTATTTAAAGTACCTGCTTTCTTACTGAATAAAAAGGAAAACTGAGCTGAAGGTGTCCTGGACTTTGTATACCCTAGAAGGCTGTGGTTACTGCAAGATCGGTGACAATCCTACCTGTAAAAGAGGTGGTTTGTTATACACTCTATACAGTGCGGTGAGGCAGGACATACGCAGCTCTATGTAGACCAGAGGTGTGATTTAACATCGACATAATTAATTCGAGGAAGACTACAATGGGTCTGCACCAAATAAACTATATATGTCGGCTTCATTGGATTACTACCACCACCCAGGAACAATAAGCAAGGGGTGGGCTACAAATTCTCTATTGCTGGGTAAAAACTGCCCAAACATCCGTTTTGTGCAAAATAGGAAAATTGATAAAAAATTAATGTAAAAAATTTAAAATGGTTTGCAGCAGCAGCACATTAAAAATTTTAAATTAGTCAGACTTTCATGACGTTGCTCAACAGAGAGTATTAAATTCTAATTAGTGTAGTTGCATGGGGGCTATGGCCGGTACTTCTAAAAAAATAGGTTTGTGCATAAACCACCATTGGCGTAATAGCACATTAGCAGCTTGCTCGGAGTCCAATGGTTAAAATGCTCTATTTTGCAGAAATTTTACCCTGATAAATTTTAATCTGATCTCACCCAATCACAGCTTCCTATAAGACAATTAGTGAACAGACGCATGCATACAATTTCAAACGCACTGATTGTCCGTAATTTCTCACAGGAATCAACTACACAAAGCGACTGAAATGATTTATAGATATGCTCCGCTAGACCGCAGAGAATATCAAAATACAAGTTTTCAGCATTAAACGGAGGTTCTTAAACTCCCACATAGATCCAAATTATATAAATGGCATTAGCCTGGTAACCAATTTTTAAATTGTAAAATTAGATTAGTAATCTGTTCCTTCAATATAACAGAATAGGTAACAAAGTAATTTCTGAAAACCATATTCCTCAGACTATTCCCAAAGTGAAGAGTTCCCATTACACATAGAAGTGTGGGATCCTGCAGGGATATATGCGATGTTCTGGTTTTATTCATTACGGAGGTCACTGAATTAGTATAGGGATCCTTTTATTGGGTATAGAATCGAAGTACTAATCTTATACGATTCTCCAGAGCCATGCATTGTATGGAATCTTGCTATACTTTTATTTATGTAACAACACACTTAAATGTAAAGCTATGTGAGGCTACATTACAAGGCTGGATACAAAGGGTTTTATAATCCCTGCTCAGTGCAATACAGGAATTTTCAGGTTATCATCACAGCCTCATCCAGATATAAAATGCTTCCTTTGCAGTGGGATCACACATTGTCTGTGTCCTGACCCCACTCATGTCTTACTAAGCAATCCCACCATCCCCCACTTCCTTCCAGTGACTCAGCTTGCTGTGCCAGTGTCCGCATTCCATCAGAGCTCCAAGGAAAGAAAGGGGTTAATTCCCAGCTCCAGCCACCCGCTGAGCGCCTGATTATCCTAGCAGTAAAACAATGAGCCCAACTTCAGCAATACAGGATGGGTGTTCAGGGTGTTCACTAGAACCCAGAGGATGCAGCAAGGAAAGAAGCGAACAGAACGTGCAACTGTGTGCAAAACAGAGACATAAATACAGACAATAGAGTGTGTTGAAAAACTGTGTTCTAGGAAAGAACTCCACATAATAAATCTATTAGATTGTGAGCTCCTTTGGGCAGGGCCCTGCTCGCCTACTGTAGTTACATGTCAAACTAAGGATTGAATGTTTAGCTATTGTACAGCGCTGCAGAATAGGTTGGCATTATATAAAATCTTGCCAAGGCTACAAAAAAGCAGGGGCCTTCTAACAGGCATCACGCAGACATAGGGAGGAGGGAAACAAACTGCCAGCAGATGATTTTGCAGGTGGTAGCTGGTATAGAACACGGTGTACATAATGAGGAAGTGGGCAATTCTGGTCGATATTGAGAAGAAAAGGTTTTAGTGCAAAAATAGCAGGGTGTGGGTCTTGGTGGGTTCAAAGTCACAGCTGTTGGGTGGAGATCTAGTGATAAATCTGATTAACACAGAGCATCAATCTCATGGGGACTGAAAAAACACTTTTAGACGGTATAGACATGACATTTTGATACATGCTGGGCAGCCCTTGCTGTACAAAAATAACACTTTCTTTTTCAGCTTTTATTATTATTATATTATTTATATAGCGCCATCAGATTCCGTAGTGCTGTACAATGATGGCAATGTTTACTGGTGGAGACCATGTGCTATGGGTTGAAGGTATCAAAAATAGTATGTGGCATACATAAAACATGTAGGATAAAAAGTTCAAGAGGAAGATATACAATTATTTATATAGCGCCAACATATTCCACAGCATTGTACAACAGGTAAACAAGACAATCATTACATTCTAACAAAACATGATTGACATACTGGTACAGAAGGTGAAGAGGCCCCTGCCCAAATGAGCTCACAGAGGAAGATAGAACAGAGCTTGCAATGAAGTCCGAAGGTGGTGGGTTTATTTAAGTCTTTATTTAAAATACTGTAGTACTTAACTGTAAAAAAAAGACAATCATTAGGAGCAGAGGGAACTATTATTTTTTAAATGATATTTAAAAATATTTTTATTAGTGATATTGCAGAAGGTCTTGATGGTAAGGTATGTCTTTTTTGCTGATGATACTAAGATATGTAACAGGGTTGATGTTCCAGGAGCGATAAGCCAAATGACAAATGATTTAGGTAAACTAGAAAAATGGTCAGAATTGTGGCAACTGACATTTAATGTGGATAAGTGCAAGATAATGCATCTTGGACGTAAAAACCCAAGGGCAGAGTACAGAATATTTGATAGAGTCCTAACCTCAACATATGAGGAAAGGGATTTAGGGGTGATTATTTCTGATGACTTAAAGGTAGGCAGACAATGTAATAGAGCAGCAGGAAATGCTAGCAGAATGCTTGGTTGTATAGGGAGAGGTATTAGCAGTAGAAAGAGGGAAGTGCTCATGCCATTGTACAGAACACTGGTGAGACCTCACTTGGAGTATTGTACACAGTACTGGAGACCGTATCTTCAGAAGGATATTGATACCTTAGAGAGGGTTCAGAGAAGGGCTACTAAACTGGTTCATGGATTGCGGGATAAAACTTACCAGGAAAGGTTAAAGGATCTTAACATGTATAGCTTGGAGGAAAGACGAGACAGGGGGGATATGATAGAAACATTTAAATATATAAAGGGAATCAACACAGTAAAGGAGGAGACTATATTTAAAAGAAGAAAAACTACCACAACAAGAGGACATAGTCTTAAATTAGAGGGACAAAGGTTTAAAAATAATATCAGGAAGTATTACTTTACTGAGAGGGTAGTGGATGCATGGAATAGCCTTCCAGCTGAAGTGGTAGAGGTTAACACAGTAAAGGAGTTTAAGCATGCATGGGATAGGCATAAGGCTATCCTAACTATAAGATAAGGCTAGGGACCAATGAAAGTTTTTAGAAAATTGGGCAGACTAGATGGGCCGAATGGTTCTTATCTGCCGTCACATTCTTTGTTTCTATGTATAAGCAGATTATGAAAAAATGCCTCTAAGAAACTTGAATTTATTATGTCATATGAGTAATATTGAGTATTGTTATTTTTGGTATTTCTAAACAATATGGTAGTGTAATCACCGAACTGCAAATTGTAGAGACAAGGACATTGCAAATCGCAGGCAAAAAAAAAAAACCAAACAATCTCCGTCTAGACATTTCAATTTGGCTAACATTTGCAATTCTCTAGCTGGTATTCTAAATTTCCCCGTTTAGTATAGAACCCCAATACTGCAGAAGCAAAGCATGCTGGGTAGGTAGAAAGTGTGGAATGGTCACCTGTGGAAAATCTCTACAATTAATCAAAGGCAGAACATCAGGGCAGAGCCAGAACCACTACTCAGGACTCATAACAGATGCTGTCTCTATAGCCAAAACACCCAATGAATAAAATATGAGGCTGATCACAGGATTCAGCTAATGGAAGAGAGAGCCTGGGGGGAGGGGGACCAGAGATTGGAGAAAATAAAAGGGGTGGGGGGGACATATCCTGGGAGATTTAGTGCTGAAAAAGGGTATGTACTCTCCTGGGGGAATGCAATGTAATCTCATTAACCATTTCTCCTCCAGGGATGAAGGAAGCATGTGGAGCTGTATGGATGGAACATCCTCATTGATAAAAGTGGTTAAATCAGTTGTATGGAGAGGGAGCAGGCAGATGCAATGACAGAGATGAAATAGAAAAAGCTTATGGAGATACAATGTCACAGCCTCTCTTATTCAGGCTATTGTAACTTAACCTTTTCATTGCTTAAATAAAAAAATAAAATAAAAAAAAATAAAAAACACACACACACACACACACACACACACACAGCAACATATTGAACTGCGAATACATCGCTTTCCAATTGGTCGCCGTCCCCTTCGTACGCCAAGTAAGAAGCTTCACTAATACTAGAAAATAGACAAGCATAGGAACATTTTAAGGCAAAGCAACCAGGATGGAAACCTTTCCAATTGGACAAGATTGGCCGACAATTTAAAAAAATAAATAAAAAAACACTTTGAATTCTGAACAATTTATACTTTACTGAATACTCCCATCTATACTATAATATACGTCAGATTGCAAGCTCCTCTGAGCAGGGCCTTCTTCACTTCCCGGCTCTGTATATATTTTGTATGTCAGCTACTTTTTATCAGTGATCTCCATTCTAAGATTGTAAAGCGCTGTGGAATATGATGGTGCTAAATAAATAATAATACATTTCTGTGTTACATTAGAAGATGCTACAATGAAACAATTTAAGCCAATTACATCCTCAACTCCACAGGCCAATCACAGCATGTGGATGTCCCGTCCCTTGCTCCGGCGATGTGGATTAGTCACCCTAGCCATACCTTTCTGCTCCCCTCCGTCATTTAATATCATCACTTTGGAACATGATACTTCCTTCCTCACCGGCCATTTAAAAAAAAAAAAAAAATGCCCCCAGACCACTTTCTAGGCAAGTGAAAAACCCCAAGAGAGTAGATTTCACAAGAAAGAAATAAAATGTGCCAAGACGTTAATGATGATAGACCAAGATCCCCCTTTTTCAGGGTATTCATTAAGTATAAATTCTCAAATTTGAGTTTAAAATAGCTGAAATTTAAATAAAGTTTTTTACCCCTAGTTCAGCTTTTTTGGTCTACAGTTTTAAATTCCCTTTTAACAATTTACATTTTCGTTTAAAAAAAAAAAAAAAACCCGATTGGTGATTTGTTGAATAAAGTAGGAGACAGTGCTCTCTGTGGATTAATTGCAACCGTAGAAGATTTAATAAAGTTATATTGTTTTGCTTTGTCAGCAGTAGAGGGGCTGAATCATCAGCCAAAACCTGCATACAATATGCATGAGAGCTACGGCAGCAGCTGGGGGTCCAGTCTGGCCCTATATTCCTGGAACTTGTTAAGTGCTGTTTCCATATTTGGAGCCGGAATCCCAGTTACAATGCAGCATCACACACAATAAATACCAAGGATGCCAAAGATCTGACTGTCTACCTGTGTACTCCAGGGTTTGGCTACACTAACAGCTGAGAAAACACTACAAAGTAGCAGGATTATTCTCAACATCAAGTGATCTGTTTTCCAAACACACTCCAAAAGTATCAATTCTAACATCAAAACATTCCAAGTAAAGTTAACTCTTTAAATAGCCATAGGAGGTTTTCTCATTTCCTTTTCCCTTGGCATTTTATAAAGACATCTGATGTGCATTTAGATGGGAGGACGTCTCTCTTTTGTTCTTCAATACAATTTGAGAAGCACCTCCAGCGTTTTGGCTGCCTGGATGCCATAGGATGTTGTATTGTGGGACTCAATGTTAAATTGCATGGAGCTGGAGTAGTTATGGTCGAGTCACTGCTCATAAAACCACAGACAGCAGCTGATCATCTCTGGAATGTGGCCGAATATATGAACAGAATGGAGTTTGATAGAATTGTCAGTAAATTAAGTAAAAAAAAAATATGAATGGTCTGCCCTATGCAGCTACAATGTGTGTCCTTGTTTGCAGTGCTCTGTAATTCTGGTTGACATTTTAACTGAAGAACAAAAAAAATAAAAAAAATAATTGCACTACCTTAAAGCAGCTTTGTCACTTCCAACTATTTCACAAAAATAGAATATTTAGGAAATTCTAATGCCAAGTATTTTAGAATGTCTATGAAATTCCATGGAATTGGAAGATTCCATAAGACAAAAGTATTATTACTTTATCCTGTGGACAATCCGGTGGTTCACAAAAGGTGGTTTAAGTGATAATTTAAACAGGCAATTTCAGAGTTCCAGTGATTGAAAAGGAAAAGGATAAGGTGGGGGGGCAGTGACTTGTTTTATTTAACTGCGCGTCACTAACAACACACAGTGAACAAAATTATAAATGCAACACTTGTTTTTTTACCCCTTTCACCCCCCCCCCATGAGCTGAACTCAAAGATCTAAGACTTTTTCTATGTACACAAAAGGCCTATTTCTCTCAAACATTGTTCACAAATCTGTCTAAATCTGTGTTAGTGAGCACTTCTCCTTTGCCAAGATAATCCATCCACCTCACAGGTGTGGCATATCAAGATGCTGATTAGACAGCATGATTATTGCACAGGTGTGCCTTAGGCTGGCCACAATAAAAGGCCACTCTAAAATGTGCAGTTATCTGCACATTTTAGAGTGGCCTTTTATTGTGGCCAGCCTAAGGCACACCTGTGCAATAATCATGCTGTCTAATCAGCATCTTGGTATGCCACACCTGTGAGGTGGATGGATTATCTTGGCAAAGGAGAAGTGCTCACTAACACAGATTTAGACAGATTTGTGAACAATGTTTGAGAGAAATAGGCCTTTTGTGTACATAGAAAAAGTCTTAGATCTTGGAGTTCAGCTCATGAAAAATGGGGGCACAAAAAAAAAAAAAAAAAGTGTTGAGTTTATAATTTTGTTCAGTGTACATATACAGTTGGTTAATTTGGGGAGATTCTCTGAACTAGGGATCAACCAATATAATTTTGCCAGAACCGATGCAGATTATCGGTGGCCTTTCAAACAGACTGCCGATAATATTATGTGCATTTAAAGGGACACTATAGTAACCAGAACAACTACAGCTTATTGAATTTGTTCTTGTGAGTAGAATCATAACCTTCAGGCTTTTTGCTGTAAACACTGTCTTTTCAGAGAAAATGCAGTGTTTACATTACAGCCTAGTGATACCTTCACTGGCCACTCCTCAGATAGCTGTAAGAGATCCTTCCTGGGTCATGGCTGCCTAAAATGCATCCAAACATTCAGTGTCTCCTCCCTCTGCATGCAGACATTGAACTTTCCTCATAGAGATTCACTGATTCTATTCATCTCTATGAGTAGATGCTGATTGGCCAGGGCTGTGTTTGAATCATGCTGGCTCTGCCCCTGATCTGCCTCCTTGTCAGTCTCAGCCAATCCTATGGGGAAGCATTATGATTGGATCAGGCTACCACTTCTGATGATGTCAGCAGACTTCTTGTTTTTCTGAGGCAAACAGAATGCAGAGTTACAGCTTCTGGCTTGAATACAGTAAGATTTTTACTATATTTATGGAGGCATGAGGGGCCCGGGGGGGCTAGATGGTGGATTTAACACTATAGGGTCAGGAATACATGTTTGTGTTCCTGACCCTATAGCGATCCTTTAAGGTTTTGAAAAGCAACAAAATTTCTACACAAATCTGGCATTACCGGAACATGCTGACAGCAATCACACTCCTATTACTCTCAGACAGACAGCCCAGTACATTACAGTCTCACCTCCCTGCATTCAGCGTAGCTCCACATGGGACACAGGAATATGGCAGGAGGTTACTGGAAGAGGTGAGTTTGTGATCAATAAATTACAAGAAAGATACACAGATTATCAGAAATATGCCGAATATCAGCTCTAATAAAAATCAACAGAACTAATAAAATCGGTCTATCCGTACTCTGAACATGGCGGTTTAGCTGTGGAGTACACAAGAAAATTGAATAATTCTTCAACTTGGCTATCTTGGAATAAAAATGTGGAATTGGTTTGTCAATTCCCTCACTAAGGAGCTACAAAAGTATCACAGGGTGACACTGGGTGACAGCAACCATGCACATTTACTGTAAAACTAGATTTTAAAGAATGTGTCCTAGAACCATCTCTTGTTGATTTTCTTTTTTTTGTCTTGTGATTTCACATCATTCCCCCCCTCCACCATAATTCCCAGAGGCTGTTTATCACAGTGCTAAACATAGTCTTGATTCATCAACTCACATTTATGTGAATACAAGTTTTTTTTTTTTTTTTAAATGAAAAGACCAAGACCGATTCACTGCTAGCAAGTGGTGCTTGGGACAAGTCAAGACACTAATAAGAAATACTTCAAACACCACATGTAGCAACAAGAAAAAGATGGAGAAATGCAGGGCTAACATGCTAAAAATCAGATCGCTCAGCATGTAAATCAATGGAGTGTCTCTATATCATTGGTGTCCAACTTTTTGGCTTCCTCGGCCACATTGAGCAAAGAAGAATGGTCTTGACAACACATAAAAATATATATAATGATACTTCAGAAGCCCTTTTCTTAATTAGGATATTTCATTTGTTTAGTAGATAACTCCTTATTTGTTATCCTTATGTGGGATTGCCATATTTAAAGGACCACTATAGGCACCCAGACCACTTCAGCTTAATGAAGTGGTCTGAGTGCCTGGTCCAGCTAGGGTTAACTATAATATATATATATATATATATATATATATATATATATATATATATATATATATATATATACACACACACACACACACACACATATACACACACATACATATATACACATACACACACATATATACACACACACATAGCAGTTTCAGAGAAACTGCTATGTTTATAATAGGGTTAATACAGCCTCTAGTGGCTGTCTCATTGACAGCCGCTAGAGGCGCTTCCGCGTTTCTCACTGTGATTTTCACAGTGAGAAGATGCCAGCGTCCATAGGAAAACATTAAGAATGCTTTCCTATGGACTGGCTGAATGCGCGCGCAGCTCCTGCCGCGCATGCGCATTCAGCCGAAGAGGAGGAGAGGAGGCTGAGAGGAGGAGGAGAGCTCCCCACCCGGTGCTGGAGAAAGAGGCAAGTTTAACCCCTTCCTCCCCCATCAGCGCCACGGGAGTGGGACCCTGAGGGTGGGGGCACCCTCAGGGCACTATAGTGGTCCTTTAAGGATACCAAATACCAGAGCTATCTGTTAAAACACATACACAAATAAACACAGATACACACACACACACACACACACACACAAACAAACCACATACACATATAATCAAAACAAACACAATCACAGACCAAAAAGATATATACACACACACACACAAATAGCCGACCCACAATCACATTGTGACTTGTGTGTATGCTAGTAACTTTCATACACATTTACTAGTTAAAAGGTCCACCTAGCCTCCCTACTTTGCTCTGGGAGGGCTGGATCCTCTCCCAGTTTTTGCTGCTGGAATCGGATCACTGTGCTCTTCCTGCAGAGGTCCCTTACACTCCCAGTAGTGATCCTGGGATGACATCATATCCCAGCTGCCAAGCTCACTGCAGGGCACACGAGGAAACCGTGCAGTAATTAGCATGTAAGCTCATTGAGCAGGGCCCTCTTTTCCTGTGTGTCCATTTGTCTAGTTACAATTATGTGTCTATTAGCTATGGAATTTGCTGGCACTATATTAATAATAATAATAATAATAATAATAATAATAATAATGGGCTCGCTGACTCTCTCGCCACTCCGGACAGCAACCGGGCCCCTTTACAAGCCGTTCAGGGTCGCATGCGGCCTGGACACCCCTGCCCTAAAACATTGCAGACTTGTTTTAGTATATATTTGCGGCAACACTGATATCCAGTAGAGATGCTTCCGCTGCACTGACTGAGTAAAACAGGACACCTGATGCAGTCGTCTCCATAGGAAAGCAATGAATGCTATCATCAGGTCTTTATGTTCCTCAATGAGGAGCATTGGAAAGGACCATCACCATAGGAGCCTCAGCCCTGGAAGAAGGCAAGGGGAGGGAGGTGGACATTAAAGCCTTAGGATTAAAAACCTGTACTCCTAACGTTTAGTGCTCCTTTAACCTTCACCAAGGGTGTTTAGACCCAGCGTTGTCCATAGGTGGTAAAGGCCATAATGAATACGTCCCAATATTGGGAGGTATGCAATTGGAGCAAGTGTGCAGGCCTTGAGGGGGCATCGCCAATGATGCAGACCTCACAACATTGCCCATCCCAGAATCACTAATGGGGAGTAAACCGGGTATGTCCATCCACATTACTAGCAGGTCAGCCTGGTATGAACACACACCATGCTGCCAGCCAACCATATAGGGTCTGACACTGCATGAAGCACTGTTTCGGTGCTCCCTGCAAGGTCCTAGTGCCCCAAACATAGCGTGAGCACATCTAATATCAATGTTGAGGACAGTTTCCTGGTATCACCAAAAGCAGGACACTGGGCAACAAATGTGGGACAGGACTCAAAAGTCGGGACGGAACTTCCAAAATTGGGATGGTTGGGAGTCAGGATAACGTCACTTGTGTGTGAGCCTGGCATCAAGCAGTCTGTCTGGCCATCCCAAACATACCGGACCATACAGAGAGCACCTCTGAACCTGAATGGTCCAGTAAAGATGCACTTGCGCTGTGCTGGACAGGATCCTGTTTGGAGGCCAGATAATGTGTACAGGGATTGTCATGCTCGGACCCAAAAAGGAGCCCAGCCTGGGGAACCAAAATCGCTCTATGTAAATTATGAACTGTAAACGTCCATCTTTCAGTTTCTTGAAAAATACTTTAGGTTGCGATATTCCCAGAGCCTGTGACCTAGATTACAGCATACCTGAAAAACGTGGCATAGATATAGCCTACCAATAATAAAAAATATAATTGAAACATTTACACTATTTGCACTGATATCCAGCCAAGTCCTTTATTCGCCATTCACAATGTCTTTTAACAAACATACAATGAGATTAAATAAGCGTCTCATGCCTCTGATGTGATATAAATTGACCACAGCGATTGCTGATACATAACAGACGATGAAATATAAAGAGATTCCATGAAGAATACGGTTTAATCAATTTCCCGCACAGTTAGACACGTCTGCAACATAGGGAAACAAAAAGATCACGTCCAGGAGAGCACAATTCTATTGTTTCCTAGTCTAAAAGGAATAAAAATCGGATGCAAGGAAAAGAAGAAAAAAAAAAGTGGAGGGTGGAGGGGAAGCGACAAACAGGATGAACAAAGCATTATTCTTTATAGTCAATGGGGTGCAAGAAAAAAAAAAAAAAAGACTGGAGCTTCACATGGCTGGAGATTCAATGAGTTTCATTGGTACCCACTAATAAAGATCAGGTTAGAAGATGCTGGATAGAGAAAAAAAATAAAAAATAAAAAAAAAGATGAATATCAGATCAATTGTGGTGTTATCACTGCACCATCAAAACAGGTCCCTCGCAATTCAATCACCTTCTCATTGCATTTGCTGCCAGTAATGGGATGCCTGTAGCCCAGTTGTGACAAGAAGCCCATTTAAGACAGATCTAGAACCCAGTTTGTGGACTTGCACAGTATGACAATATAATGTGACCAAATCTCCATATTATTCATACAACTTCGGGATTTTTAAGCAGCCTTAGAAATCAAAAACATAACATTTGCATGGTTGCGGATTTTTGTTGTTGTACTTTTAGATATTTATCCTACGACAAAGTATTGTAAAGATCTTGTCACATGCAAGTCTCCATCTAGACAAGGCCACTGCTGGAGGACAATTCTAGGTGATGCATTGTTACAGCCATGATAGTCTACTGTATGCCTTATATAGGGGGTTTAACAGAAAATAGTATGACAACGTTCATTAAATGAAAACTTATTCCTATAAGAACAGACCATGGAAGTAAAGATCTTTGCATGTTTAATTAGTTTTCAGTTAATGTGGTTAGATATTTCAGTTGCAGAATCTTCTCAGAGGCAATAAAATATAAATAAATAAACTGTCATAAACCAAATTATCAGCCAATTATAAAATAAGAGACTGTGGATACAAGGTCGCTTTAACTATTGTGATGCGGTTAGCAATGTGTTCTTGTCCCAGCGTGTCACGCTTGTCATCGCGGTCACAGTGATTTAAACTCTACAGTTCCATCACCTAGTGCTGGTCAGGACAACACCACCAATCCTGCGGCTGTTCCAACTTGCTGCAGGGCAGATACATCGAACTGACTACACTATCCCAATCAGATCACATGGCTACTCTTTATCCTTGGGTGGAGTAGAGCTCATTGACTCAGCAAGGATTCTATGAGCCAAACATTGGTCCATGTCTTAATGTTTTCCATTGTTTAACAAATGCATATTGCAACATTACTTTGAGAATGGTCCAGTGACAGCTTAAAGACGAGACCATGTGGCTTCTCCAAATTAAAAAATAAAAAAATAAAAAAAGGGGGAAGAAACATGCTCAAAAACATTGTCTTAATGACCTCCAGAGTACGACTTGGCCAATTGCTCTAACAATGGCACTAGAAGGGGACATATGGGAGAAGCTTAATTTGGTCCCATTATGTGGGTCAGCATTGGGTCTGGTGAACTATTCAGCTGTTTGAGAAGAACTTGATCTACCCTCATCAAGTCAGAGTGAGGATGGAGGCATTGACTGGACTGGAACTACATCTTTAGGGAAATATCTTACCCAACAGCATGCAAAGCTGAAAACTCAACTTTTATCCTCTGCAGTGATCTTCGGGTGACCTCTGCAGTATGCAGGGTGTTCATGGGTGGGGTACAAAGCTCCACCTAAGGTTACCAAATCCACCATGTTTTTTTCTGGACTCATCACTTGATGCTGATGGGCAGTGTTTGAATAATACCTTCCTGTGATATATGGCATGCTTATTCTCCAGGAAGGAAATTGATTCAGGAGTGAAAGTTCCTTTCGAATTAAGTCTGGTTAATGAATTTGCTCGCTTTCTGCAGCATGTGAATCCTACATACCACAGAAGCCCTTTTCAAGTGCTGCCTATCAATATGTATCAGTGATAGGAGTCTAGTTGTACCTGTCATATTAGAATTACAATTATAAAATATTGTATATACAAAGAGAGCAATTCGTTAGATTAACATCTTGGTACATAATTAATTACACCAATACACAAAACTGGCCAATAATAGTGGTAGACTTCAGGACACAAAGAGTCATAACAGGAGATCAGTTAATGAATGAATACATTAATTTATTGAGAGGAAATCCCAGGTATTTTAGCCTCTTACCTCTTTAAAATATTCATCCATGTTTCTGCCCCTTCCACACCCCTCACACAGAGCTGGGCTTCCAGTTTTCAATGATGGACCAAATGAAATGGGAACCTGGAATCAGTGTCTCCAATACCCTGGGGGTAAAAAATGATGTTTGTATAGAATGCAGCAGCCAAAAAATGGTCCAACTGGGAATCCTTATGTTTGGGTGCAGGATCAGAGGTCAATGGCCCAAAGGTCAAATAAATCCAAGAAATCCAGAGATATTGAAGTGTTTTTTGAAATCCTGTGTGTGACAGGTCTGATCCCCCTTTATGGCAGAGAGCTAACCAGCCTCATTGCTGGTGATAAAAGGCATAGGGCAGCATGGAGGAATGCTGACAGGCACAGCTTGCTGCTCTATCCCTTCCTTTGTTCTCAGTTATAGAGGTGATGGGGAGCCTGCAGTATGAGAGAGCCCTGCACCCCAGCTCTCTGTGTATCCTCAGCATAGCCTCACTATAAGGTCCTGTTACACACACTCAGTCATCCTGCAATGACCAGGATTTTAACTGAACTCAGCTGCTCCCAGACAGCTCCTCCCAGGGAGAGGCAGAGCCTACAGTGTGTGAGCCCTCCTCTACAGACAGCTGTCAGTGTGCGCTGTGCTGGCCGGGGATTTATTGATACATTGTTACAATCAGCAATACCTGCAGGAATCAGCCCCTATACAGACAGCTGTCAGTGTGCGCTGTGCTGGTCTGGGGTATATTGATACATTGTTACAATCAGCAATACCTGCAGGAATCATCCCCAATACAGACAGCTGTCAGTGTGCGCTGTGCTGGTCTGGGGTATAGTGATACATTGTTACAATCAGCAATACCTGCAGGAATCAGCCCCTATACAGACAGCTGTCAGTGTGCGCTGTGCTGGTCGGGGATTTATTGATACATTGTTACTGTCTGTAGTGATATCAGCCCTTATACAGCTTCTCAGTCGGTGAACAGTCTGGGATTTATTGCTACATTGTTACAGTCTGTAGTACTATCAGCCCCTATACAGCTTCTCAGTCAGTGAGCAGTCTGGGATTTATTGATACATTGTTACAGTCTGTAGTACTATCAGCCCCTATAGAGCTTCTCAGTCAGTGAGCAGTCTGGGATTTATTGATACATTGTTACAGTCTGTAGTACTATCAGCCCCTATAGAGCTTCTCAGTCAGTGAGCAGTCTGGGATTTATTGATTCATTGTTACAGTCTGTAGTACTATCAGCCCCTATAGAGCTTCTCAGTCAGTGAGCAGTCTGGGATTTATTGATCCATTGTTACAGTCTGTAGTAATATCAGCCCCTTTAGAGCTTCTCCGGTCAGTGAGCAGTCTGGGATTTATTGATACATTGTTACAGTCTGTAGTACTATCAGCCCCTATACAGCTTCTCAGTCAGTGAGCAGTCTGGGATTTATTGATACATTGTTACAGTCTGTAGTAATATCAGCCCCTATAGAGCTTCTCCGGTCAGTGAGCAGTCTGGGATTTATTGATACATTGTTACAGTCTGTAGTACTATCAGCCCCTATAGAGCTTCTCAGTCAGTGAGCAGTCTGGGATTTATTGATTCATTGTTACAGTCTGTAGTACTATCAGCCCCTATACAGCTTCTCAGTCAGTGAGCCGTCTGGGATTTATTGATCCATTGTTACAGTCTGTAGTACTATCAGCCCCTATACAGCTTCTCAGTCAGTGAGCAGTCTGGGATTTATTGATACATTGTTACAGTCTGTAGTACTATCAGCCCCTATACAGCTTCTCAGTCAGTGAGCAGTCTGGGATTTATTGAGACATTGTTACAGTGTGTAGTACTGTCAGCCTCTATAGAGCTTCTCAGTCAGTGAGCTGTCTGCCAGTCTCTGATCCATTTGTTTCAGAAAACAGATTTAATATTATTATTATTATTATTATTATTAATTTTAATAAATGCCAAATGATTCCACAGTGCTGTGTATTAATCCATGTGTTTGCACATGAGCCTGTGTGTATGTATATCAATGTTTTGGTATGTGTCCATGTGTATATGAAAGTGTGTGTGGATATGAAAATCTATGTACATGTATGTGTCTGTGTATTAGAATGTGAGTGAGATTTTATGTGTGTTTTGCACAGTTTGGAGGGTTGCACAGTAAAATGGTATAGTTCAGGTGTGGGGTGATACAATGCACATCTGCTTTGGGTGACAAGTAACCTAGATACACCTCTGGTGAGGAGTGTCCTCAGGCCTGTACAGAACAGAGCTACACTATATGGACAAAAGTATTAGGCCACCTGACCATCAACAGGAACTTTTATGACATTACTTTCTAAATGCATAGACATTAATATGTAGCTGATACATTGTTAGTGTCTGTAGTAATATCAGCCCCTATACAGCTTCTCAGTCAGTGAGCAGTCTGGGATTTATTGCTACATTGTTACTGTCTGTAGTACTATCAGCCCCTATACAGCTTCTCAGTCAGTGAGCCGTCTGGGATTTATTGATACATTGTTACAGTCTGTAGTAATATCAGCCCCTATAGAGCTTCTCAGTCAGTGAGCAGTCTGGGATTTATTGCTACATTGTTAGTGTCTGTAGTAATATCAGCCCCTATACAGCTTCTCAGTCAGTGAGCAGTCTGGGATTTATTGATACATTGTTACAGTCTGTAGTAATATCAGCCCCTATACAGCTTCTCAGTCAGTGAGCAGGCTGGGATTTATTGATACCTTGTTACAGTCTGTAGTACTATCAGCCCCTATACAGCTTCTCAGTCAGTGAGCAGTCTGGGATTTATTGCTACATTGTTACAGTCTGTAGTACTATCAGCCCCTATACAGCTTCTCAGTCAGTGAGCAGTCTGGGATTTATTGCTACATTGTTAGTGTCTGTAGTAATATCAGCCCCTATACAGCTTCTCAGTCAGTGAGCAGTCTGGGATATATTGATACATTGTTACAGTCTGTAGTAATATCAGCCCCTATAGAGCTTCTCAGTCAGTGAGCAGTCTGGGATTTATTGCTACATTGTTACAGTCTGTAGTAATATCAGCCCCTATACAGCTTCTCAGTCAGTGAGCAGTCTGGGATTTATTGATCAATTGTTACAGTTAGTTTGAAGCTAAAACAGCCTCCACTCTTCTTTCCACAAGATTTTAGAGTATTTCTGTTGTAATTTTTGCCCATTCATCCAGTAGAGCATTGTGAATTAGGCAATGATGTTGGGCGAGAAGGCCTGGCTCACAATCTAGGTTCCAGCTCATCCCAACACTGTTCAGTGGGGTTGAGGTCAGGGCTCTGTGAGTGCCAGTCAGGTTTACAAATGTTTGTAAAAGCAGACTGCATGGCTAGGTGCTTGAATTTATGCACCTGTGGCAATGGATCTGATTCATTAATTAAGAGGTGGAGGTGTGCCCCGATACTATTGTCCATATAGTGTATAATCACAGAAAATCACGTCAATATAATCAACATTCCACACCAATACGACCAGCCAGCAGAAGGGAGACACAGAGCAGAGAATTGTGTAACTATCCACCCTGTTGTCATTTAAAGAGGGAAATTATATATTTTTTTTGTGAAACGGCATTTTGCAATCCTCGGTGCATCCGAGTCTGCACATCAAGTATTTCTTAATTTCAATGAGTCCTATTTCTTGTTGAGACTCCTTACTGTGCAATTCTGCGAACTAGCACCAGGTGTATTAATTAGTGCTTTGCTGGCTGTAGGTGAGGGCTGACTTGGATTCTTGTCATTCACAGTGTCTAGAGATTCACAAATTATACTAATACTCATTAAAGAGACACGCCAAGCACCATAACAACCATAAATTACTGCAGTTATACGAAGACTTCCATCGTACCACATCACAGAGGTTTCAGTAAGAGGGCTGAGCTTGTCACCAGGCGCATGTGTTTAAGTACACGAATGGACATGCATTGTTGAAAGTACATGAATAAAAGTATACGAATGAAGATATTTGTCAGGGTAAAATAATCTGTGCTATGGCTATTATTCACTTGCCCAGCAAATCATGAATTAAGTTATAGCTGAGTGCTGAACTATAAAGGCATAGCTCACAATGATGGCATTTGAAGACAGAAATTATATTTTTTTGTGAAACATGGCATTTTGACATCCTTGGTCCATCGGAGTCTGCCCATTAACCATTTCTGAACTATATATCCCATTCATTGGATGTGTGCTGCACTTCCTCTGAATACAGTGTGGAATCATGATTGGCCAATAAATATCAGGCAGGTCCCAAATCCTGCATGAGCTCTTGATTAGCAACAAACATTCACTGGGTTTCTTGTTTTTTCAGATGACAGTTTTTATTGAAGTGCTGACATTGCAAAGTGCATACAGTGTAGGTTAAGGTTTTAGGAGGGTGTTCTAAGGAAGGTGCATTGTTGCCAGTGGTAATAGTGGGCATAATATAGGAACTGATTATCTATGTTTCCAGTCATTTTAGAAGTCTAACAGTACACACTTTAGATGAGCCCATAACTACACGAGATATAGGCAGAACAGTAATGCCAATCTGGGATGGACAGAAGTGTACGGAGGTTTAGTTTAAAGTACACAAATGTATGCGGTACATTATATTAGGGTAAGGATAGATAGATAGATAGTCTTTTACTGAGCAGGGTCCTCATCAACCTGTTGTTCCGGTAACATTTTGTAATTGTCTCATTCATTGTTAAATTTCCCCCTTTATAATATTGTAAAGACAGACAGACAGATAGATAGACAGACAGATAGATAGACAGACAGACAGACAGGCAGGCAGACAGACAGACAGATAGATAGAGCAGTGTTATAGCAGAGTAGGCTTGAACATCTTTAGAAGACTGAGATAAAGAATCTTTGTTACCTGCACACATATAGAATTACCTGATGATGAATGCAAATTATCTCATAACTGCTCCAAAGACAATGTAAAGGGGGATGGTTGCTCAGACAGGCTGGAGACTGAGGTTAGGTTAAACACTCCCTCTCAGATTTACTCCTAACCAACATGATTCATGCAATGTGCTCTGCTATATCTCCCATCCATTCCACTGATCCCTGCTATATCTCCCATCCATTCCACTGATCCCTGCTATATCTCCCATCCATCCCCTGATCCCTGCTGTATCTCACATCCATCCCATGATCCCTGCTATATCTCACATCCATCCCCTGATCCCTGCTGTATCTCACATTCATCCGCTGATCCCTGTTATATCTCCCATCCATCCCCTGATCCCTGCTGTATCTCACATTCATCCCCTGATCCCTGTTATATCTCCCATCCATCCCCTGATCCCTGCTGTATCTCACATTCATCCCCTGATCCCTGTTATATCTCCCATCCATCCCCTGATCCCTGCTATATCTCACATCCATCCCCTGATCCCTGCTGTATCTCTCATCCATTCCACTGATCCATGCTATATCTCCCATCGATCCCCTGACCCCAGCTGTATCTCACATCCATCCCCTGATCCATGCTATATCTCACATCCATCCCCTGATCCTTGCTGTATCTCCCATCCATCTCCT